AAATCTCTCAGAATAAAAATAATACAATATGAGAAAAGTAACTCAACACGAACAGCATCCTACACTGTAAAAAATGAAGTAGGCCTATTCAATTCCATACGTCAACAAAGGAACAGTCCCTCCATAAAGGATAGCCCCAGACATATTTTAGTGAATAAAACTGGTAAATTCGACGTGACAGAATGGTGTAGACGTTTGTCCCAGTCCTGTTAAGTAAATCTAGCAGTCATTTGCGAACGACTCAATAAAGTTAGATATATAGGCTACATTGTATATCGTCATATTTTTAATTTCGATACTTAAAGTAGCTAAGTCTCTAACTCAATATCATCCAAAACCTTCGACATTGAAAACACGAATTAGTTGTCAATTTTAATCAACATTGGTGTTTTGATCTTACCGGGAAAAGATGGGCATCTGATATCCAATATTTAAGACAAAATAAACATTTTACGATTGGTACACGAATCGTGTACCATAATGCGTTTCAGCAAAATTTGTAACAAGCGACTCGAAGAATGGGGTTAGGCATATTCCACAAGTCATGTCAAACAGTGACTTCATATTCTTATCTGGAGAGCATGTTCAATAAATACTACCGTTGCGACCCATTTGTGCCAATTTGTACGTCCCAAATATTAGCGATTTAGCGGTATGTGAAATCTGCATCCACCTCTTTAAGATTTAAGATGTTAATTATTCTGCTATTAAGCATCAGTTTCTAAAATCCACGCCCAAACTATATTGTCCTTGTTATTTATGAATTAACGCACTACACACCAAGTATGCTTGATCTTTCTAGAACATCTATGCTTTTCATTTGAAGCATTTCGTCAACAGTTTCCAAAATACTTTTGTATCTAAAATATTTGTGTATTTTATAAAAATTTGTTTGTATGAATCAAAATATTTATTGTAAACTCACCGAATACTTGACAATTCACACAAGGTAGGCCTATTTAAAACCAAAACTCTATCACACAAACACGCAAAGTGTTCGTTATCAGGCCCCCGGAGTTTATGCTACTATATACAGATACGGTGGTTGTTGGAGAGTTCCGCTTTAACGAGAGACAAAATTCCAATTAACAACAGATAAAGCATTTACAATAAACTGTTTCGTGTTTAGGCATACAAGTTTAGAACTGTTCTGTTAGATGGAATATCATCCTATCTCATATTTCTATATAGTATAATTAAAGATATCAATACCTCCATACCGGTGTAATAAATATGAATTAGTAACAAGAATGGTCAATTATATCATATTTCAGTTAACGGCATCTCTCAAACAATACCGTTTATATTTAAAGGGAGTGGGTCGTCTAGATAGGACACTATCTTAGACTAGCATGCCAAGCATCCGGAATAGATCCAGAATAATCTTTGAGGTGTTTCAAGCCCGGCTTCCACGTGTTCTGTGGAGCGCCTGAATAGCTGAAATGGAAGTATCTATAGTCGTTCGGATGATACGAAAAATTGTTCACCGTTCAAAAACCGATAGTGGACATACAAAATTCTTTGGCAGTTAGCGTTCGGTGTTTATTGTAAATATACTAACTTCCAGTTAAATCAAAAGTTGTTGCAGCCTTATTAAAAATTTAAAACCTGAATATAGAGGCGACAGAAATATTGTTTGAAATTTTCATCAACGCCCTTTGTTAGAATGTTTCTTAGCGGAACGGAATTTCATGTAACAATGAAAACAGTTCAATATGGATCTCTTATTCTTTCTTTTACTGGCACATGTATTGGACAATCATTAGACTACAATTTCCACATGGGGGATTTTCATATTGTATGCAAACACATACTTATCGAAAATACAGCTATATTTTTTTATGAACATAATTGAAAATTTACAACCCGTGGGTCTATCTTACCAGACAATGAGTATGTATCCGATTCAAAAGAGAAGATAGTACTTATTGATTTCCCAAGATTATTTGCATATCTTACACAAAAAAAGGGTGAACACAGAAATATTTCTCAATAATATTTACCTTAGACTTAGATTGTTTTACCAGATGTCTGTCTGTTCTATACAGCACGTGCTATAAAACTATATTATACCTCTACAACAATGTATAGTCGAGGTCTGCTTGTTTTAAGGTTGTTTCATATTGATTTTAAGCGGTGGAAATTTTATCCTCGCTCGTTAACAAATATAATTATTATAAGATCGATATGTCGACATTTGTTTATAAAATGTATTTTGAATGGAACGAATGATAATTCGCGTTAAACTGTGTCTAAAGGCTCCTTCATGCGGATAAGCCCGCAACACATGTCCTGGCAATATTTATCAAATAAAGCTTCGTCTACACTAGGCTTGAAAAACCCGGCTTTTTAAAAACCCGGTTTTTTCAAAACCCGGCTTTTTCAAGTGTAGCGTCTACACTGACTGAACGGAAAAAGACGATGAACACCGACCTTCGTTATTTGTGGAACTTCCGGTTTATTTATTACGCCATCGGCTTCAGTCAATTTTGCAGAGATAATGACATCCGGGTACTTGATAAATCCCGGATTTACCGTCTACACACATAAAATTGCCGGTTTTTTGAAAAAGCCGGCTTTTTGATTTTGAAAAATCCCTCAATAATTGCCGGATTTTAAAAAGCCGGCTTTTACGATTGAGAAATTGAAAAAGCCGGCTTTTAGGAAAAAACCGGGATTTAAAAGGCTAGTGTAGACGGTGAATGCTGCTAGTGTAGACGTAGCTTATATGTTTAATGTCTTTACCATTATTATACATCCGTTACTCGAATTCATGTCCTAGAAAACTAATAATTATTTCAGAAAAAAGGTGTTCGGTTTATGGTCCACTCTCGCTAGGGTCACTTTGTTTCAAACCAAAATACTATAATAGGTAAAATGTTAGTTCACGTGTTTCAATGGGAACATGTTCCCTAAGATAAATAAATAATGTAAGAATGCTGTTCTAACACCAGAACCTTCATTCTAAACCTCGAGCCTCGTTTGTCAAAGATCAAAAAACATGTTTTCTAAAATTTCTTATACATTGTACATTTAATGCATTGTAAAACAGTTTTGAATTGATATTTGGATGATGCTGTGCCACGGACGCCACTTTAAATCCACCTCATCTTCGCTATTATATAAACAACAAATTTAGGTAAATTTAAAGAACCACCGTGAATTGATTTAAAAGTTAAATTCCTGCGCTAGATGTAAACATAAACAGACATGTATTTAAACAGCTGTATGTTATTATTATTTAACAAGATTTAGAGTTTGAACCCCATAGGTCAATGTGCTGTGAGAAAATGGGATATTTGATATTTTAAAAAGAGAAACAGAAGTCTGAATCACGTTGAGTAAAGCATTGTTTCAAACATTAAAAAAATACTTCCTACATGAGTATACACGATGTTATAGAATACCAAACAAGACTCCCTTTTTTAATCACAGCATATCAGACTTAATTTAAAGTGACAGTAACTGAATTGAATTTAGAGACAAAGTGCTTTGGATCGAAACCACGCGGCTTGTCTCAATGACATACATAAACATCTAAAGCGCGTGCGTTATCCACAGTACTACCGATGGACGTTTAAAACTTGTTTGTCCTAGGTCCATATCGTTTAAATCAGAAGCATTTAAATTACACACAACAACAAATAAGCACCCCTGTACCATTCAAATATTTGAAGCACAAAATGATTCCAGTATAATTATCTGTAACTGTAAATGGGAAATCTATCCATTTCGACCGGCTATGCAATCAAACATTGACCAAACTAAAGCATGGCATTTCATAAAACTCTTGGGCTTAATCTAAAACATTATTATAAAACCCTACAAACTAACTCGAACGTTTAATTGATACAATAATATTTCTGAATTGTTAAATTGTAAATTTAATGCAATCAAGGAAGGCTATCCTAGGTTATGAGTATACGACACTTGTTTCATATCAGCGCGTGCATCTTGGAATACATATCATATTATATTACTTTACACATACAATTACGCCTTTGTGAGCCACATGCAATTTGAAAGCATTTTTTAAAAATAAGTTACAGTATAAGGCGTGAATCTTAAAGCATGCTTTGAATGATTTATATCGTAATATGTAACTGTCTAATGTTATTGGGCGTTTAAATAATGTGTCTTTGGAAAAGTCGATTAACAAAAAAATATGTAAGCTTTAATAATATGTATGCAATAGGTAATAATTGAGTCGACGAGATGATTTCGATCTTTATTATATTATCAGGTATAGCTCTACAACCATGCTATATTTAGTTAGATATTAGTGGGTCAATTGAATTTAAAAAAAATGACACGAGCCACAATAATCGACACTTAAAAAATATTGCTTACTTTTAACAATCTGCTTACAGTTTCTTGTCCAGGCAGTTATTTAAACGCGCTGATTTTTCAGGAAGCTGATGCTTTACACGGCTTGTCTTTTAGTCCGATAATCTACGTGTCACATCGCCTTTTCTCTGTGACTTCTTTGTTTATAACGTTACTGCATAGATTGTCATTTATCGACCAATAAACGGGGCATATTTCAAAATAATAAAATATGCACTTCTATTTTTATATATTTTTGCCCCTATATTCAAATGGTGAAATGGAAATAAAAGTAATGTAACGTATAATAAATACGCAATTCAAATGTAATCACATGATTCAACATGTAAACACTAATAGACGTTGTAGTGTTTTACAAGAATAATGGTTTTGAAACCACCCATTCGTCTGCTATTTCGATCAAGGAAGACAAAGCGACACCAAATTTCCAAAATTCGATTGGGTTAAGAGTAACATATACTTGACATTTTCTCTGTTCAAACGCGATATTAAATATATTTTAACTCACCGGTTGCTTGAAACGTGTGCCACATAGAGTCAACAGTAAACAATCAATTATTACAGCACGTGCCAAAGTAATACATTGGTGACAGCTGACGAATGTTTATCAACAAATGGGAGATAACTCTGTCCTACTTCCAGTTTATGACGTCAGCTCCGGTTATTACTCAGGATGTTGTGATTGTGAAACTGTCAAGTTTAATTTCATAAATTCTTAGTTTAAGCGAAGTAAATTCTTTCCCATTTTATTGTTTTCCTGTTAGTGACATATTCAAGACATACAAAAAATGGATGGTAAGTTACCAGTGGCTTGGCTGCTAGAGGTAAAGAATAAACACCTACTGAGTACTCGACTCGTAATCCACTCGTTTTGGACAGGCCTGGCACAGCCAGAGGCTGGAGTGGGTTTACCTTTTGGGGAAAAAGATTACCACTCACTCCCCTTTCAAAAATAACATTATGCCGTGACTAAGTATAATGTCTAAAGTTTATTACTCTTAGGTTTGTAATGAAGATTATCAAATAGCTGGTCTGAAACCGATTCTACTTAGTTTAGTACTTCAGGTCTGGTGAACATCTTTGATGGGCATCATACACTGTGATACTTTTACAAAACAATTTAGATTGATATACATGTATTTTGGACCATAAATAATTTTAAAACTAATTGTTAATTTACTTTCTGTAGGTGAAATTGAACTAAACGACTCCAAATATAGGGAAACATTTTAAATTTATCAGTTACATTTTCGACTGATATTTTTTTTAAAGCTTACTACTAAACCATTTTTAGCTTACTCATATTGTAAATGTTAAATATCCTTAAGTATCACAGAATATATATAAAAATAAAATACATCCAAATTTATATCATTGCCCATAGAATTCTGTATAAGAATCAACTTAGAATACCAAAATGTTAATCGTGCTGTGGTCTAAACTGTATTCTGTGTTCTAATAAATCATAAATCAATGGAACCAGTTGTAAGGTGTACACAGGATGCATTGTGGTAAGTTTAGGTTATTTGAGGCTCCAGGTAGTCTTAACAACTGAAGACAACAGGTCTCGAAAAATTTGCTACATGCAATGTTATTCTTTGATCTGTTAATAACAGTGTTATATCACAGGACAATTCTGTTATTGAAACCAACCTGTATGAAAATGACTTCATTACAATCAAATAACACACTATTTATGGATAACAATTACTGTGGTTTATTTCACTGCGACGTTTCAACGTCGCAGTGAAATAAACCACAGTAATTGTTATCCATAAATAGTGTGTTATTTGATTATGTTCCAATTACTAAATGCCATTTAAAGAATAGACTTCATTACAAGTTGAAAGCTCTGCATTGAGGATGATTCGATTGTAAGCGGTGTAATTTTTGTGAAATTTGTGTCGAGAATTGGTGTGTATTCGGAAAACAAGCTAAAGCATGAAGAGGAAGAAGTTCAACAATATTCATGGTAAAATATTTAAAAAATGGGAATTATATGAACTGGAGAAAAACACTATAGGTGTTGTTAGATTCATTTAGTGGCTGTGTAGTGACATTATTTATTAATGAAATTGTTATTGAATATTTATTGAATAAAGTGATTTATTTTGTTGTTTGTTATATATAAATGTGTCCGCTCTAGCTTGGCGAGTCTACTAATTGACGTAAAGAAAATTATACTCATATCAAACACTATGAAAACCTTTAGTTGACCTGAGGATTTAGAAGAGTTATTTGCCCCTGATTGAATTAGAGAATTGGTTTCAGATCAGTTATTTGATAATCTCGCGTACGAAGATGAACCTACAAATGTAGTAGACACTATACATATACTTAGTCACCGCTTAATGTTATTTTTGAAAGAGATTTTCCGATTGTAGATTTATAGTTTAAATGTGTCTTGGACACAATAACTGTTAATTGTGTTCTGATATAGAAATTATAAGTTTTAAAACATTATCTAATAATATTAAAAATCAATTTTTGGAGTCATTTATATTATCAGATTTATGTTCCTAACTTTTGTAGGTGGGGGATTTTGAGCTTGACAAGGAACACAAATTAAGTTAGTACATGTACATTGTGTTTGATATGGATGTTAAATAAGAATAAAATTTGACTTTTTTATTAAGACTTTATTAAAACAGAGTTAAATGTAATCTTTAAGTGGCATTTAGTGATTGGTAAACACGTTAACAGAACACAGTTTTGTGCTTGATAACGATAAGAGGATACTTGTCGAACTGTCATGCTTTTACAATAAAAACTAGTGATGGTATCCGATAAAAACTGTGTTCTGTTACAGTTAAATGTAGTGTAAGTTGGAAAGTTGATAAAATGATAATAGCCTACCGGTAATTGTTTTCAACAAGTCATGTTATTGTGGTTTAGATTTGTGTAGAGATGGTTGGGCAATTTATTAACCAACTTACTTTTCTATAGATTACATTTATTATGATGATATCTACATGTGACATACATGTAGTCTTCCTGTTTACAAGAATAGTCACAACTTGAAGACATTATAAATGTATAAATTCAATTTTTTTCCCTGTTGAAATAATTTAAAAAAACCTTTCATAAACAAATATTTGTATAGATATATTTAAGCTTTAAAATGTTTATCAGTAAGTTGTTCATCAATTCTCTGTTGAATTTTATGGGTTGAGAATCCTTCAAATCATTTATACATAATTTTAGCTAATTAAAAAAAGGTAACATATCCAATTATTTAAAAAAAAACCCCAAAAACGTTGATATACCACTCTAATTATTTTGTTGAAAATCAACGGTACCGGTACCTCACATTAATTATCTTGTTTAAAGACAATGATATACCACACTAATTATTTTGTTTAAAATCAATGATAAAACACATTAATTATTTTGTCTAACATCAATGATAAACCACACTAATTGCTTTGTTTAAACAATGAGATATTACACTAATTATTTCGTGTATAAATAATGATATACATATATATACCACACTAATTAATTTATTTATCAACAATGTGATATCACACTAATTATTTTGTTTATAAACAATGATATACCACACTAATTATTTTACAATGGTATACCACACTAGGGTAATTATTTTATTTAAAATCAATGATATATCATACTAGCTATTTATTTATCAAATAATAATATATCACACTAATTATTTTGCTTTAAAGCAATAATATACAACACTAATTATTTTACTTTAAAACAATGATATACCACACTAATTATTTTACTTTAAAACAATGATATATCACACTAATTATTTTGTTTAAAATCAGTGATATTTATTTAATCATGGAATAATAATATTAAAACACTTACTTACCTGTATATCATCAATATTAAACTAAACAATGGTTATACCTGTAGTTTGTATTTACACCTGGTTGTGTTTACAGTTATACTAAACACTAATAAGACCAATAGTTGTTGAATTATTACACATCCACAAGTCCAGGTGTCGTTTAAATACTATGACCACTCTCTTGTCGACTGTCAGACAATTTCCACCTTTTATTAACGCAATAAACTTGCTGTGACCGTATAATAGGAGGATTATAAAGATTCACCTGGAGATAAAATCAAAGATTACAAGCCGTCTATAAGTTGAAGAACATTGTATTTTACACCTGCATGTTGTGTTGACAGGTTCAATCCATTAATTAGTTGGAAAATCTCATGATGGAGTGTAATTAACTCAAATTTCTATCACGAATGGCTGGAGATAAATTGATGTTTAATTTTCTGGAATAAAATCTAGGGAGATTTTTACTCTTGATTTATTTTAATTTACTGAAATAAAATGTGTATTTACATGTAAAATTTCAAACTTGTTTTGTCTGTTTGGTGAGCGGGGAAACCGGAGGATCTGGAGAAATGCAACCTAAAAAGGCTATTTGGTTCATTTTACTGTATGTTACATATGTAATTAGACCTTTAATGTACCTGTGTAATTAATAAGATATCTAGACAATACCTGAATATCTACTGGAAGATTAAACATTGGGTTAATAGTCAGTGTATTATAAGATTATAATCTGGGACTTTTAACCCCATTTATAATGGTGTCAGTGACAGTAATTAACTATATCTCTTATGACATGACATAATATAATAATCATATAGAATATCATATGTTATGATGATAAAGGTTTGGAGTTCATAAAACCAAATGGATGGTTTATTTAGATCACAGATCTTAGTGTCAATCAGATAAACTTTGTTAGTATTGTTTATGTGAGAGAGAAAATGGGGTTTAACATTCACACAACACAAACTAGGTCATTTTGGGTCTAATATACATCACAGTAGCCCTGTTCTTAATTGGCTGTTTTTTTGGTCGGCTTTAGCGGATTAGTAGGGTACATGGCAGATGAAGTTTGAGTCTCATTCGTGAACAATTTTAATAATAATAATAATATTTTTAGTTTTAAAAAGTCAAAGACTGAATTCAGTAGAAAACAGTTAAATCAAAAACTTTTTTGAGGGTTTAGTGTGTGCGCGTTCGACCACAAGCTTTTTAATTGATTCAAGTGGCGTTGTTTAAACTCCCCGCTTGTACATGACAAGAAGTAGGGCCGCTTGTCTAACCCCCATGGTTTTGTCCGGGTTCTTCCCACTACTAAAGATCCCTACACATAAGCGAATTAATGCAATGAAATTGAACCATATGTTAGTCCTGAAATGACCTTCTGGGTAGTTTGTGTCTAGTGCATGTTACCCCCCCTCTCTCTCTCTCTCTCTCTCTCTCAAAACTGATTTATCAGTCATATGTTGATAGACCATTGCAAAAAATAAAGATGATAATGGCATGTATTGTAGACAAAGTAATATGAATTAGAGATGGCAGTAACTTTCGTCTTATGTACAGAATGGCCAATTATATTAATTTAGGACCTATTCACCTAAAATTTCTTAAAACTACTGACCTGTCTACATTTGCAGTTTATTCATGATAAATCAGGATATTAGCTGCATTATGCTGTTAGCTTATACTATTATATTGTAAAACAAATTGAGAAATTTTAAAGAGATTGAAGATAGAGTGTTACTGATGTTTTATGACAGATTTTTGATGTAATGAGTAATTTATTTAAACAGTGAAAAAGTTCAAAGCAAATGTTCATGTCAGGAAAGCTTTTAAAAAATAATCATTTTTTTTTTTTTTTTTCGTTCTTCTTATGTGCTGATGACATAGATATTCCATGACAGGTGGATTAGGTTTCTAATCTTAAGATATTAATCTCAAATATTCCTCATTTTTTTTTTATCAGAAAAAAATTCACAACAAATTAACTTGTCAAACTGAGCTCAAAATTTGTAGTTGTTATTCTATGTGGTTTTGTTTCTTTTTATGTATCAAAATGCAGATGACCATGTTTGATAAATGTCTTTCCCAATCCAAGATGATTATAGGGTTCTTGAAGGGGTCAGAGGTCGTACAGGTAGTTGAGGGGTCATAAATAATTGGGGGATATGAAGAGGTTTAAGAGTTATAATGACCTGCTGAAGACAATCAGGGTGCAACTATTTTAACCACCAGAAATAATTAAAGGATTTCTCCTGCATTCAAAAAGTTCAAGGATTGAAATTTATTGTAAATTTATCACACATAATTTCACTTGGTTGAACGTTGAATTGTCAAATTTCTGATGGCCATCAGGCAGAAGTTTAAAGTTTAAGAATGTTTATTATTTTTTTTTCAAATTCTAGACTTGACATGGGGTTTATAATCCTACTTTTCTGCCTCGAGGAAGCTAAAGAAGACAGGCGTACACAATAAGTGTGCTATTAGGGAAATTTGACCCGGACAGCAGCGCTATAGCTTAATCTTATCAAATTTCAACTATCAATGGTTCTTTTGCGTGCATGCAAATTTGTTTACAGGACCATCTGAACAACTAGTGCTTGTTAGGCCCTCCGTCTTACACCACTGGAAAATCCTGACAAACTTTCTCTGCTAACCCAGGACCTAGAGCTAGCCGCCAGCATCTTACTCGTTGAGCCACTATGGCTTCCACATTTCTTTACAGAATTCAACAAATGTAAATATGCTACAAGCTGCACAAGCATACATATTATGTTGTCTCTAGTCTTACCATACAACCAGAGTTAGGAACTTGAGTTTTGGCGACTTTGGACTGGATTTGGACTTGGGATCCCACGACTTATTCCCACCTCTTCATAATACTACATTTATAATTCAGGAGCATTCTAGTCATGGATGGGATGAAAAACTGAGGTCCTATGCTAATGTTGCTGTGTACTTAAAAGAACTCTTGACTGTTGGAATTCGAAATCACAGTAGACTGTAGCATTGTTGTCGGGCAAACTTTCCCTCATAACACACTGTATGGCCCGGTTGGTGCAGAAAAGTAGGACGTTAAAACCTACTTCAATTCTTTTATTACAAGTACGATCCTTGGTCACTAATTGTATAATAAAAAATTTTCTCTTCTTTCAGATTCCCTGTTTCAGTTGCGGGTAAGCATTCATTTTCTACACATATATTAGAATTCTTAAGATAAAAAAAACAACCCAAAACAAACAACGTTTAAAGTAAATTATGTAAATAAGTTAAAGAGATATTGCGTGAAACTAATGAATATTTGGCACCAAGTCAGAGTTTCTTTAACTTAGTCAAACTCAAAATTAGCAACTAGATCAGTTATAAATTCCACACGTGTATTTCTAACAAAAAATTCTGATCAGTAAATACCAAATTGATTTGGTTCAAATAAATTTTGAAATTCATTATTTTTTCTTTGTCAATATTTTATAAGTGTACTGTTATTATATTTAAAGCGTTTAAAATAGAGTAGAATTATAAGGTATTTTATATTGTGTCTTTTATCTTTTCAGTTTACTACAAAACAATTAGAAAGATTGGCTTCAAAAGCTGAAAAAGATCAAAAAATTCAACAATCTAAAGTCAGAAAGGTAAACTAAATTCTAGAATTTACCAGATTGTGGAATCTACCTGATATTATTGTGATCCATGTACATGTAAATATATCATATTTGAGAGTTTCAAATCCCCGGTTGTACGTGACAAGGAGTAGGGTCGCCTGTCCAACCTCGTGGGTTTTCTGCGGGTCCTCCGGTTTCCTCCCACTGCTAAAGACCCCTATGCGCAGGCGAATTATTGAAATAAAATTAAACCATATGTTAGTCCCGAAATGACCTAGTTTGTGTTGAGTGGATGTTAAACCCCATTTCTCTCTCTCTCATATTTGAGAGAATAAATACAAATTCTACTGAATAGTGTCAAAAATCATGCAAATAATTGTTCATATAGGCATAAAGATTTTCGATAACAAGTTCAGAAGTGTTCATATAGGCATATAAGAAGAACACAATTAATTTTTGGGTAAAATTTTCAAAGTGTTATCTTTTCATTAACATTTTTACTTTGAAAGCTTGGGACAGTCAAAGTGGATTTTAGTAGAAAATGATTTTAGAGCTAGCATCAGACTTGCCGGTAGTGGACATATTACGGGCCCCAGCTATGTTATTTGGTTGTTTCTGTTTGCAATACACAATGGCATAAAAATTGAATAATGCCAGAAGGTTAATGATGTTAAGACATGATTATGATTCCGAGTGTAACAGGAATGGGGAAGGAGAAGGAGACTTTAAACACAATTTATCTTTATTTTACCAGGCCTTACAACAGAAAAATGTGGAAGGAGCTAAAATATATGCTGAGAATGCCATTCGAAAGAAGAATGAAGGTTTAAATTTTTTACGTATGGCTGCTCGTATTGATGCTGTTAGTTCTAAAGTGCAGACAGCATTAACTATGAAAAATGTAAGTATGGAGTTTAGATTGATAATGTAAATCGATCTTCTATCCTGGTTAGTGGGAGATGAAGAGTTAATAGAACTAGATGAGTTGAAGGATTGTCTGTTACCCTGTAATGGAAGTAAATTATTGACTAAGTTAATCCACTCATAGATTTAAAGATTAAGATTTTCTTAGAATGATATCTTGCAACATTTTTGGAGAAGAAATGATACGATTTTACATTGCCCACCCCCCCCCCCCCCCTCCTATCAGGGTATTTCTGATAATTAGCTGCTCAGAGCACACAGACATTTATACAAATACTGGTTCATTAACATGTAATGTTTCCTCAATGATGCTACTCTTGTCTTTATCATGACTTGCTTGATAATGAGATAGTCGAAATATGTTAATCAAACAGTATATTGTTAATCTATATACATCATGTATTAAAACTGTTTCTCTTGAATTCCTAAATGACACTTAAAGACCATTTCTTCATTTTAGGTCAGATAATTTGATACAATATAATAGATTCATTATTTTAAGATTTGACTTTTGTTTTTTTCAGGTAACTAAAGATATAGCAAATGTTAGTAAGGCACTGGATAAAGCCATGTCTTCCATGGACCTATCAAAGGTGGGTTTGAAAATATTCTCCCTAAAAGGTTTTCATAATTGCACCATTCTATGTGTTCTGCTTATAAATATTAGAGGAACAGTGTCTAGTGGCTTGAATGGGACAAAAAACAGGGTCCTGTGTGCAGCTTGGCGAGCCCGTAAAAGAACCCTTGACAGTTAAAATTAGAAATATGAGTATCCCATAGTGTCACTGTATGAGCAAATTTTCATCATCACACACTACATCTGCATGCTGTTTACTCGTCTTCTTTGGCTCAGGACATTAAACCCCATTTCATTTCTAAAAATTAAAATTTCTAGCTATTTCCTCAACGTAGTTTTGAAATTGATCTTTTTGTGAGTAATATTGTGATTTGGTTTTGCAAATGAAGACAGGATCTATACTCGTGTTTCTCAATATATCGGCCATTTATCTCTATTTTTAACTCAGTTTTAAAGAAATATAAACGCTTTGTAAAATGCCTAAGAGCAGTGATTGGTTGAATTTTATTACACTGTATGACAGAATATATTATTATTATTTAAACTATGGTATTTATATGTTACCATATCTGATTATAGGTGGAACAAATTATGTCTAAATTTGAGAAACAGTTTGAAGATTTAGATGTTAGAACCTCAGTAAGTATTAATTTTATTTTCATATTAGTCGGTTGAAGTGTTTTTGAAATTTCTGTCTAGAATCAACGTAATAGAATACACTATAGCTGGAAACAATGAAATTTAATCATTTCTACACATATCACTTAGTTTATTATCATCATCATTATGAGTTAAATTGTACAAAATATAAGACATTTATAGCCCTGACATTTCTCAAAACTATCAAGATAAACAGAATTCATCAACCGTGAATGACAAATCCTGTGCTTCAGTTTAACTTTAGCTTGGAAAAGTCACTATTGTGAATATTGCACGATATTGTTGCTCTTCAATATAATTGGTTCAAACAAACATGATTGTTTAGCGTTTCTTTTTTTCTCTAAACAATTGTTTATCATTTTTTTTATTGCCACACATTGATACGAAATTTGTAATTATTCAGGCAATAGAATCTGCTATGGGAACTGCTACCACACTGAGTACACCACAGGATCAGGTAGAAGCGTTGATACATCAAGTAGCAGAAGAGAATGGTCTAGAAATGATTGATCAAATGAGTGAATTAAATCCTGCTACAGCCTCATTACGACCAACTAAAGAACAGGGTGAAAGTAGTAAAGAAGATGATTTATCTAGGAGGTATGTTCAAATTTTATTTCGTCACATCAATAAATGATTCATTTCATAATGATGGAAAACTTAGCTGAAATATTTACTTCTGCACCCTTGGCAGAGAGAGAGGGTTAATGTCCACCCAACACAAAATAGGTTATATTGGGACTAACATGTCTCAATATTATTTTAATAATTTCCCTTGGTTAGGCAGACAACCCTACTTTTGGTCACGTTCACGTGTGGGATCAAAAACAATGCCAATTAACTCAGTGACAGACTGTATCATTTAAAGTGAACGTTAGACTTGTGCCCTCTGCCAATTTCTTTTTTTTTGCCGTTAATCAGTGTTTACTGGACGTTGATCCATATACGGATACCCTCACTTTGTTCAGGTTTAATCCACTGGTTATATTGTTTATTTAATTAGAACTAAAATGTTATAGTGTTCCATTTCCTTACATATCTATATTTCACGATTAAAAATTGTTTATATATTTGATTTACAGGTTGCAAGCCTTACGGAACTGATAAACCAATGTTTTATATTGTGATATCATCACTGTTCTGGTTTTGAATAATGAAAGGGGGAACTGTAGAAAATGTAGTAATAATATGCATCTGTTTGTTGTCACCATTTAAATCACATAGCATCATCATGACCATGTGATAAACATATGTGTCTTGTAGTATAAACAGTTGTAACCTGATCAGTTAGAATAAACACAAGTGGATTAAAAACACTAAAATCAGTCTGACAAATGATTAACCAAATTGTTTTGTGTATGACGGGGCCTTAGGATTATCAGACAATTTTTAAAGATGCATTATGTAAGAACTAAATCTGTCTATTGCAGGCTTCAATGTTATATAAATTATTATTTAGACATTTATTCACACGACAAGCCCATTATCAACTCTTTGGGTCATCTGATGGATGGGATATTGAATGGAATAGAACACTCATGACATTTAATAATTTAACATGTATATTATCATAGCAATGACCATCTAGACTATGCTATTCTTTCTTGTTCAAACATCAAACATTCATAACTTTGCTCAAAATAAAGTAATTTGACTACAATTTTCAATATATTCATTTTTCATGATCTTTTTTTAAAACTATTATAGCAAGACGCATCAGCCCTCTATCTTAATCTTTCATAATTCATCTTTAACTATTGTTATTGGGGGCCCATATTTCTTCCTATCCATCACATGTATTTGTAATGCATATCTGGTTATTTTGTCATTAGCTGTTATTTCACTAAAATCATCTTTTACAAACCTTGTTTTCAATGGTAGTTGTGATTACGTTTTCTATTATTTGTTAATTATTGTATTTGTTTTAATTTGTTATATGTAGGATAATGCTTTAGGTATTTATTGAGGATGCTAAAATTAGAGAAATAAGTATTACAAATAACTGAGAATGTCATCCATAAATTAGTTCTGCTGAACCAGGTTTCCATGATTTTAAACCTTTTATAATCTCCCTAAACATGTCTTATTCAGCGTTTTCAGTTCTTTTAAACTTCAAAATCCAAAACTTTGAATACAGTATATTTTAATAATTCTATAGCAAGTTACATTGTCATTTAAATCATTATTATTTGATTTATGTAAGTTGTTAATTTCATTTTATTTCTTAATATCAAACCACAATTTGTTTTGACTTTTTAAAAAACAGTTTCTGACTGTATTTATTCACATCTTGTAATAATGATAAATTTGTGACAACAAAATTAACAAAAGTCTGAATTTTATGCAATGGTGTTTACTAGTATCACACTAGAATATACTGTTTTTCATGAAATATTACAGTTCCCCTGAATTTGTATAATTTGTTAAAAATGTATATAGAACCATATTTTATAATATTACTAATTGTTCACCAGTCAACTTCTAGAAATAGGTATTGTTCCTACAAAAAGATCCAGAGAAGCTAAAGAAATAATTACAGCATAATTTAAATACGAGTTAAGATTACTGGTACTCTAATTGAATTGAATCATATTACTGTTAATAGTAAAATAACTCAAACAGTATTCTGATGAAGGCACAGGAACTACACTAACATTTTGAAGAAATGAAAGTACCAGAATATGGCGAATCCACATTCTAAATTATAATATGATGTGTGTGTGTATATATATATATATAATGTGTTCTATCCATATACTACCCCAAACTCTAGGATACAGATACGTCTTTTTATTATTATATTGTTTGGTATTATTTGTAGACATTTTTCAGTAACATATTACTTGTGACAATTCAGTACTGAATTCTTTATCGCCTTACCTTAAAATTTGTTCTGTAAGGCATCTGTCCATTTGAAAATTTGAACAAAAAGTAAAAATGTAAATTATTTGTGTATAAATCTGATGAAATCAAGTGAAGTATAAAATAAACTGTTTTTATTATCTCCTCCTATTTTCTTTTACAATAAAAACATTTCTGTATATGCAAAACTCATATTTATTCAAAAACGATTTCATCTTTTAGGATGCAATTGACAAAAATCAGTGACAAATTTTGATTAGTTACCTAAATAAATAAAATCTAAGCGTGTATGTTCGATGTTCGCCTATCGCCGCGCTGCACTCCCACACATGTGGTATCAAATTAACCAGCATGACCCTGTGAATGTTTCGGGCCTGGGCGAATCACACTTCGTCACCGCAGTTCACCCCCACTTAAGTTGTATCAAATTAACCAGCATGATCCCGTGAATGTTTTAGACCATCGAATTTGGGCTCCTGGTAAAGTTGGGTATCCTGCTAGTATGTTGATATTATATTGAGATTAACATGGAAACTATATTGTTTATTGATATCAGTGCACTGCTTTGATAAGAATTACGCTCAGTCTGCATCATTCCTTCCTACTTTTGGATCAATTACAAATGTGTGCATGAGTAAGGTATCAAACCTATTGGGCTGGATGAATAAATGAAATGAGAGCGCTACCAAGGATGGGCATATGACATGCAGCGTGCTATGTTGGAAATTTTGCACTGTGGCCTGGAATTTCAACTATCATGGTTTCTTTCATGTACATACCAACCACAGGACCTCAGCTTCCTGTGCCATCCTAATGACTGGACACTGTTCCTTGCCAGGTCTCCTGTCCTACACCACTGATAAAAGGAAACCATGATAAAAAAATCCAGAGATTATTAATAAGTTGTATTTTGTCCTGTGGATAATTTACACAGCTATATTCTAATTACAAGACTCAGATACACCAGGTCAGCATATTTTTGCTTATTTTAACATTAACTAAAAAAAATTCTTCGTTCTAAAGAAACAAGATATAAACGCAAATATTATGAGGAAAAATAGCATTTTATTTTCTTCAAAACATGATGTGAAGTTTACATGAGCTGCTGCCTAGAGGGAAGAAAAACAAACAACACAACATTTTACTGTATTCACAACAAACAAACAAAATCTATTCATTTCACAATATTACTTGGGGGCTAACACAACAAACAAACTACATTATTTACCATAAATCATGTTCAAATCAACAACAATCAATGAGCACTTCAAACAAGCAAATATGAATCCTTAATACAATATTTTGTTATCATAAAGAACTTCATGATTATCATGAATATAAATTTGTATTTCGTAAAATCATCTCTTGTACAACAAGCCCTAGGTTCTATTGCACAACATGACTAGCATGATTAACAATTATTAAAATACAGATGTCATTCTTTGATGTCAGTGTACTACTATTAAAAATTATTGAAAATAATGGTACAGGCAACATGCCTATCGTACATTATTTATACTTGATGAAATATTGTAGTGTGTGACAATTTCTGTGAAATGAACGTGCAGGATAGTGTCTGTTTTAAGTTGTTTTATGGTCACATACAATCTTGTTCATATAATCTTTGCAGCTTATATTCTAAATGAACACATTATTTGATGATATCAAAGGAACACCTGATGTATTGTATGTTTACCACAGTCTATAGACATGTACAATAGATATGACTTTCTAATATTAGAAATGAAATATGGCAACTGGCCTTGATTGTTGTGACAATTGGTGTTAGTTTTGTTTTCTTTCTGGTAAGACTATACACCAGAAAGAGCCCAGGACTCAGACCACTACTAGTGTTTCAAATATACGAACAAGATTTTCAGCACGAACAAAGATAACAAATGACTACAAATAAAGAAGACTAGACTATCAATAACATATAGAAATAAATAGATTGCAATATTAAAAGGCCTTTTATAATCAACAATAACCCTATATTGTATCAACCAAAAATAAATAGAATATATTTTGCACCAAAAGTAATTAAGATATCGTTCTGCTCCCAAAGTCCCTGCTAGGTAGCCATGGTAATGATAAATGATGACATATATGGATGGTTTATGAATATTCACGGTTATTAGCGAGTTAATGGATATTTGTTTTACATTCAAAATATCTGAATGTTTAAGATTATATCGTTACTGTACATAAATATGATTTATTTTTAAATTTTAAAGTATTTACAATAATACAGAATTGTGGATTTATCTCAAAATTACGATTTATAGATAATACATTTTATTTTTCTCAGCAAACTGATGGAGCTAAAACAAAATCAATTAGGACCTAACCTAAGAATTGTGATTTCAAAACTCTAAATTAGGAAGAAAAAAAAAATCAATTGTTTGGGAAAATTTCAAATATCCTAGTGCACATTTAAATTATCATATTTAAATGGCCAGTCCATCAATAACAATGTCTCAAACTTACGATTCTAGAAAATTAATGAAAGAAATATTTACACATTCGATGTGACCAGTTAAATGTATTTTAATTTCGCGCCCTTTCACGGTTCAAAGAGTGACACAATGTGGAGCTTAGTGCCACCACCACCAGGGATGTAACAAACTATGTATTTAAATATCGAACAAAATTCTTCCTAAAAAATTAATCCTGATATTATTCTTAATCAAGATATTGACTAGAAATTCAAAATAATGTGAATCAACATAAAATGGAGTAATATACTAAAGCTCGATAGAAACTTACAGATTTATATGTACTTAAAATGAAGCAGAAACCTAAGGACTGGACAATAATTTAAATAAATCAATATATTGATTATTGACAATATCTGTTTTACCATTAAAGATACTGCAATAACCCAAAAAATTGTTTGAACTTATCTCCATTTCCCTAATAATATTCTCTGAAAGATTATTTTATTGAAATATAACGTAAACTTGACCTATCAATGATTTAAATTTATTTGGGCGGATCCCTTGTCTTGTGTCAAGTCTTCTTGCTAAAACGCAATAACTTTGCAATAATGGCAATTTATCATGGATTTTTATATCGTTAAATATAATGGAAATTTCAAATATCGTGCAGCCCCATAGAACATGTCATTTATATTGTGCAACACTAACCCTAGATATACTTGTGTATAAGGTGGGAAGGGTTGTGTATACCCATATAAATGCACGCTGAATACTCTGCCTTGTATAATCACGAAAGTCTAACAGTATTTTGACATGATCTCACAACTTTGTTTAAATTTTCTTCATAATCACATCAAGTTTCAAAGAGCTTCAGTATATGATGTTATTATATTAAATTATTATTAATCAATCTTTAATTGTATCCAAATGCCAAAGATAGTAGTAACCATGATTTGAATTACAATAATTCAATCAAAATTGATCCAACATTTAAAAAATATTCATCCAGAAATATAGTCTTTTCTTCTCGTTATATTAGTCATAGGATTTCTATAAAAATTCATTGTATATACATGTATAAACATATATACATAGTTTACAATTTTACATAATTTACACATTTTTTAATCTTTTAAATTTTAATCTAATTTATATTTACTCCATCTTATTATTGTTTCTGGGGATCTGTAAAGAAAAATTAATTTTGCGAATAAATCTTCTTCTAATCGTAAATCTCCCGACTCTCGCACCATGTAGATATCTAGACACAGCTGCAAAACACGATCCACATATGGTAATTCTTCAAACATTATACGGAACGACACACCAATAAATATCGTGGCTCGTACAAAACGTCCAATCACAAATACAAGTGAAATATACAGACCAATAATACTGAAAAATAAATAGGTCATTGACACAAGGTTAGAGGTTAAAGGCCATTCAGCATATGTAATGAAGTAAAAATAAAATAATATAACAGTGAAATGCAATTTAGCAGTACATATATCAGCAAAGATAAACTAAGTAAAAATATCTAAGTATAAAAACACTATTGATATACTTTTTTTGATGTAATTAGAAATCATCAACCATTTTTATTCAATACACAGGCACCTTTTGTTTAATTTTCTGGCAAAAATGGATTTCTCAGACAAATATAAAAATATTTAACAGACATGTTAAAAAATCAACAGTTTAACTGTTAAAAATAAATGTTATAAAAAATTTGATTAGCATTAAATATATGAAAATGTTGAATTGCTTTTATATTTTAAAGGGATGATTTGAATACAAATAAAGATCAAAATTCATTATTGAATAAAGCAAATAATCAGGGAATTGCTTGAATTCTGAATAATCCATTCTGTTATTCATGATTATCTTAAGAAAAGTAGAGTTAAGTAGAATTTGTGATAATATTTATATAAAAAGTTATGAAAATGAAGTTATAAATATAAATATGATGAGTATTTGACTACAAGCAAGGCAAGATAAGATGTGACACCATATATATATTTAACATATAATATTCCTAATCTAACCACATTACACTCACACAACATTTACCATCGTGCCTCCTCGGTCCATTATCATGTTAGCTACCTTTGATAACGACTGAGCCATTATTGTCGTATTGGCTAAATTCAATATTTGATTGACTACAGAACAAACTGCTATAGAAGATTTGTTATGAAACTGTTGTCTCGATCACCTGGTAATAAAACAACAGTAGCTCTATTATTACCAAAGGTAGGTTTATGCAGTAATGAACCAATGGGAATGCCAAGATGAAATCACATCTAATAAGAAATGCTACACATAAAATTACAATTATACCCATTGCGTCTTTTAAACACACTGACTCTGGATGTCTAAGATTGTCCTGAAGCAAAGTTTTACTTCACCTTCAAGGGTGTTTAAAATTTTCCTGAAGCAAAGTATTACTTAACCTTCAAACCGACATCAGACAGCAGTTATGGCCAATTGTTTACACTGGGCTACTAAGTTCGCTTACCAAATAATCAAACTATGAGTCAAGAAAAGTACTTGACAAAAATGACAATCTAAATTCTTCACTTGTTTTGATTACATTGCAAAAAAACTAGATAAATTAATGAAAACGATTGACCATAATGTGCTTGTCATTTCTTAAATATCTGCACTTCATCCACTCAGAATTCAAGCATGGATTATATTAATGGCAGATAACACTAAGAGAGGAACCTATTCATTGCAAAGTCACATTTTTATGACAAAACTATGTGTAAAATATGATGCCCTTTAACAAACAATGATTATCATATTCTTTAGACAATGATAGAACATGCTAAAACAATTGTCATGACAATATGAATGATATGCCAGCTAAAATGATTGATTGATAACATAAATTTAAATGTACATCAAACAACAGTTATATATATTAGCTTTTTGTGCATCTATACATTTAGGTTGCTAAATGGTGTACGTTATATATATATATATAAAATTTACCCTGATCAGGTTGAATAACCCTCTTAAATTTACAAAATAGCTCCAAGAAATCTTTTTGTCATAATGTACCGATCAAACAAAAACAATATCTAGTTCTATAAGATATATTTAAAATGTGAATATATTTGCCATAGTTAAACAGAGATTAATTATACTGTCAACCAAGGATAATAATATATTATAAATGATAACAGTTTAATTAAAAGTTCTGATCAGTACTTATAATATTCTTCAATAATGCTCATTTTTTTATATCTCTATAATGTCAGTCAATTATTGTAAACAAAACGTTATTTTGTTAGCCAACTAATTTTAATATTTGAGAAATGTGGAAACATGTAGAGGGGGGCTTATGTCGACTTGGCAACTGAAAGCAACTAGTTCCAGTCTGTTGCTTGTGTGCTTATGTCGATCATGTCAGCAACTGAAAGCAACTAAATTCAGAGCACTCATGTCGACACAGAACTAATAGCGATTACACTTAACATGTTACTGTTAATTTATTCATCACATGATCAACAAAATGGCGAAAACTTAAGAAGAAGCATCCCAAAGGGATAGTCGGTCTTGCCCCAATTCTACTAATACATTATTATCGACATCATCAATATTCGAATAGTGGGTGCCTTCGTTTGCATCCATTTTGCATATTTATAAAGTCATGTAACATATGTCTCTTGTCACGTGACGTTGTTTCCATGGCAACGAGTTGATGTCAGTTGCTGAAACGCCAGTTGCTCTCAGTTGTAAGGTCCACATAAGCCCCCCTCAAGATTCCTAAGTTTGTAGATAACTATTATTATAGTATGTTTTAAACTCATATAAAGACTGGAAGTGGTTGGTGATTAAAAATTAATAACAATATTGCTACATTAATGATTTCATGATTATTTCTAATAAACTGTTACAGGTATTCAACTTCCAGTAAACACTTTAAATCAATCGAGTTTTTGAATCTAAAAGATTAATTAATTTTAAGTTTCAACTCTTGTGGTGGATAAGCTGTCCATTTAATCAACGTTTCTGGAGATCGATACAGGAACACAATCTTGCTATAGAGATCTTCTTCTAAACGATATTCTTTCATTTCACGAACTAAGTAAATGTTCAAACACAACTGGAGAATCTTGTCTACATTGGGTAACTCTCGGAACATGATGGTCTGAAGTTGTCCTGTTAATGCTATTCGCAAGAATCGGCCAATCAAAAGGATGAATGAAACGTAAAGACCAATGATACTGAAAAAAATAATAATATGCGAAATCAGAATGTTTAGATCGTTTTTTTAGCTTCAAGTATTAAAATATCACATATTTTTCTTCTGAAAAAAAAAGAGATGTATATATTTGACATGGAACATGTCTGTGAAGTTTAGTAAGCACTAAATAGCAAGCATTAGGGTTTTTTAGATCACAATATCTACAACAATTAATAGATCATGCATTTAGAGCACTAAAACTACAACAATATATAAAAAATATTAAATTGTTAGCAAGCTACTACATTATGTTTTAGTAAAACTAAATTCATTTGTTGATTGTAAAAATTAGATTACTTACCATTTACATTAACAGTAATATGAGTTATCAAATACGCATATGGTAATCAGTATGGGATCAGTTGTAACACAACATTCAGCAACAATAAATACATATATTATAGCTAATTACAATACACATATAGCTAATTGCAATACACAAACAGCTAAATTACAATACACATGCAGAAATAGCAAAATACACATCTACCAAGCATGTAATAATCACTTAGAAAGGCATAAGGGTACACTACTGATTCAGTATGGCATTAGAATACACTACTGACTCAATGTCGCATAGGGGTACACAACTGCTCAGTATGGCATAAGGGTACACAACTGACTCAGCAAAGCATAAGGGTACACTACTGACACATGAATGCACTACTGACTCAGTATGGCATAAGGGTACACTACTGACTCAGTATGGCATAAGGGTACAGTGGTACACTACTGACTCAGTATGGCACAAGAATACACTACTGACTCAGTATGGCATAAGGGTACAGTGGTACACTACTGACTCAGTATGGCATAAGGGTACACTATGAAATGGTAATGAATCAGTAACCTGTGACAGCGTTCACAGGATAATATTTGTTATATTTGTGGTATTTTTATAAACTTTTAAAACCATTTTGTGTTATCCTTTCTTCTCACCCTATTCTGAACACTTAGAGCAGCAAGTCTACACTTTTCTTTAGGCTCCGCATATAGCTGCGACATTTAGATCAGGTTACTACTGTGAGTCTACTAGGCTAACTAATTATTCTCTATATTCTCTATACATTGTCTGTGATATCACCCTAGATGAAAGTGGACATTAAGCCCACTACTGGATTAGCCATTAAGCAAAATAAGCACAAGCTTAGGGCATCATGGGAAGCGGGACACCACAGAATTTCTGCTTTGTTAGATGACCAATTCAAAATATTTAAATCGAAAATTAATTAAGAATGTTTTTGTCTTTTCTTACTGTTACCTTCTTTGTCTCAATATATAATGATGTGTATAAAAACCTCAGAAAACTCTAACCACATGCTTGACAGAATGTTTGTGGTTTATTATTGTTTACATTTTGAATTGTATACATATCGGTCTTATTTCGGTCCTGATTAAGCCCTACGGATAAACGAACAGGATTGGCAATTTCCAAATTTCGCAAAAACCTTAGTCTAGGCTTTCATTTTTATTGCTAATTTACAATTAAATTAAGATGAAATAGACGTAATAGGAAAATTCATAGAGCTTGTAATAATGTCATTGTTTACGTAAAAGATTAGAAAAAAAAAAAGACCAACAGTAGTAGTGAATTATCATATTTATTGGTTTATAAACTATTCTACGTAGTATTAGTAAACATGAAACTATATATAAAATATAATGCAATCAACCTGAGATTTACTATCTATTTAAACCCATTTGAAATCTCTGATTCAATTACATTAAATTACTAATTAATGAGGACAGCTAGTATATATCATAAATAGGCTTTGTTATATTTTATTTATTATCATCTATTCTATACATTGAGTTAGTATCATTTAGTTGTGTTGTTTTAGTAGGAATTTCTGTATTTAATGTTTCAAGCCTTTGTCGGAAAACTGTTCAAATCTGTTGAGAATCACAGAAAACCGTTGGGTTTCTACTGTTGTGTAGTTTAAAGGGTCTGTCTAGATTAGATATGTGTGTGAAATAGCTTTATTTAACGCCCGCTTTCACCGAAGTGATATCGCAGTGAAACGGTTTAGTTTCTCAAAAGGTGTTGAGTAAATAACAGACTAATTAATTACTCAACACTGCTCTAGAAACTAAACAGTTACAAACCCAACATTCATTATCTAATCTCGACAGACCCTTTAAACTACACTACAGTAGAGACCCAATGGTTTTCTTTGATTCTCAACAGATTTGAACAGTTTTCCAACAATGGTTTTAAATACAGACAACACAACACTTAATGATACATGTACCCAAGTTGTAGTGTAAGGCCACATCAAATAAACGATCAGTTTTACAGGAAGCACACCTGCCCCCAGTCCCAGACTTAATGAAAATAATAATCAATTATTGTTCTTGATTTGAGTTTATTGAAAATTATAAATTAATCTAGATCTAATTTTAATCTGACATCTCACTTGCTCCCTATTTCTGAACAGAGTTTTTGATTGAAAAACTAATCATTTATTTGATATAGCCTAAATAAAGCTGTTAGCATTTAACTAATCTACAAACTGTAAACCATGAAATCTTTATCAAGAATTTATTGTGGTGGACAAAAATATGTCATGCAACTCATGATGCAAGTCAACATAAATTAATTTTACAGCCTCTAATTTAACTGTGCTTCTCCAGATATAATTTCATGTTTTACAGTTTCAGTATAATACAATAATAAAAACACACAAGCTGAATATATATATATATAGTGTTCTATAACACATATGAACAATGCTCTACTAAAATTAAAAATATCAAGACAACATTCATAATGCATAAATAACAAAAATACACACACATATCAATAGACATCGAGTGTCAAATCCAAAATTGAAATATTTAACTTGTTTTCAAATTGACAATGGGACTATTTTTGAGAACAAATTATTAAGCTTACACTCGTTGCATCTTAGGCCATGCAGGAATTTTGATTAAAGATGCAATACATGATCTGAATACATAAAACTGACAACTATTTCAAATTTTGCCTGGACAGCAGAGTTTCAGCCTACTCTTTTTCAAATTCCAACTACTAATGGGTCTTGTAAGTACACATCAATGTGTACACGGGACCTCAGTCTTTGTTATACCCTTTGTCCTGCACCAGTGACAGGGGAAAACTGGAAAATCCGGAGGAAGTTTCTCAACCAACATGGGGAGCGAATCCCAGACTTCCTGGTTAGTGAGCCAATGTCTTACTCACTGAGTCACTGCGGAATTAATGCAAAAGCTGGGCTCATTTTATAGACTTTAACCAAATGCTACTGTATAAGTGAAAAAAAAATAAATGCAAACACTTACCCATATCCTGTAATAATTGAAAATCCTGCTGGTGCTCTTCTGTCATTAAAGGTAATAATGGACAGATCAGAGCTTAATGTTGCAATTTTTGTTTTTACATTTGGGTTAAACAGGGTGCCTCGTAATAATTCAGAGGCTTTCCACCATTGAATGACATCACTAAGATTCCCAACATCTTGGTCATGGTTTAACTCTAATGAAACATTGCTATATTCAATACCATGGTCTCCTGAAATATATATATATTAACTGTGTAAACTGAACTCAATTTCATTTTCTCCTAAATATATACATGTAATTGGCATTAAATGAGTTATCTAACATTGATGTCTCTTTTGTGTTAAAGGTAAATTAAAAGTATATCAATTGTATAATATGTGACTCGAAAGCGCTGCAAACAGTTTTGGATCAATAAAAGTACCAGTATCGTAACTTCAGGACTACCATTACCTCATGATTACACAAAAATATAACCTAAATAGTAAAGTTTGCGAGTGATCTGAACATGGAAATGACCAATTACTAGGCTGACCTTAAAAATATCTTTGTTTCGCCTAACGCGACCGACTAACTAAAACCACCCCCGACTTAAATTATTTTATTGCACTTTTCCGCGATCTTTTTATTTTATTTTGTGTGTCAACCTGAAATATATCACGAGAGTTATTTCCCTTTACTATGGCTATGGTTTGATTCATTATTGAAACTGGTTGATCAAGACGAAAGCATCATAGGTGTCGCTTCTCAACAAAATGGTTGTAGACGAAAGCACGTCCATTCCCACGAAATGATTCTGCCTCTATTTTTCTCGAAAACGGATATTGAATATCCGTTTTCGAGAAAAATGAAGGCACAACCCGCACGATCGTTAAAAAACGTGTTGAGGGAGTTTCAAACGTCAGTTTCTGGCAATTCGTGTGCGAGTCGTGCATCACGAAAAATCTCGATGTCATTGATTTGTTTGACAATAAAAGAAGACGAATGTTTGCACCCGGAAAATTATCAAGCTGTCAAATTAGCTCTTAAAAAAAAATCTGAAAAAAAACCCCGACCTACCGACCCTTCTCCTCGATTGTGGGTCGGGTTTGGTGAAACAAAGATATTTTTAAGGTCAGCCCTAGCAGTTGTATAACCACGGTAGAGTATATCAATGTGTAGGCCTTGAAATTATGTGATTGATTAAAGAGAAGATAACTTTAATTAAAAATTTTCAACAATGACGTACAAGACTTGCAATCTAGTCTTTCATAAGCTGATAAAATAATGAAACAAATATTAGGAGAATCTTACCATATAATAATGAAGGAACATCAGTAGCACTACCCTTCGATCCAAGTCTCATGAAACGTGGGAATAATTTTGTTATATTTCTGAAAGCAAGGTAATAAATAATTTCATTTTAAAACACAGTAAGAAAATTTAGAACTTGTAAAGTTCATATTGTTCATACTCCTAGTGTTTCCGTCCATAAATGGATAAATTTTATGTCTACTAACACTGTCTAGTCATTCGGGGTACCAAAATTCGAGGTCCTGTGTACATGTTGGTGTGCACATATGAATAACCCTTGACAGTTAGAATTCGATATAAAAGTAGGCCGTAGCGCGGCTGTCCGAGCAAAATTTCCCCCCATTTTGTTTGATTATAGTAATACTGCATGATGAGATATCAATATCTCATTTTAATTTGTTATGAGGTAATTGATTGGTTGTTCAAACATTTTTAAAACATATCTTTATTTGACAGGCTTGTGTTGACTTCTGAGAGATGATATTTGTATATGATATGATCTCTATGCCTCTTGGTCAAGTTGTACATAGTGATAAGATATGTGACTGAAAACTATTTTTCCTGTACAATGAACTTTACCTTGTTAGAAACATTGTAATCATCCAAACTTTGAATCATTGTTGAAACTCATTAAACAGAACATAACATCACTGGTCTTATTCTAAAAGCATGACATTTCGACAAGTATCCTAGTCTTATCGTTATTGTGTTGTTTCAAGTAAATACCACTAAAAGATTATTGTGGTAACTATTTTGTCAATAAAAAGGATTATTATAAAGTAATACTTACACTGTACCACCAGTAACTGTATTGTTTAAAATACGTAATGAATCCTTCGTCATTTTCTTATCCAGATCTCGACTAAACTGATGACTGATTAACTCAGATGCTCCAGACGTTGATTCTCTGTAATAAGCAAATTAAAATTTAAATAACAGGAAGTGATGTAAAATAATATATACAGTTGATTGACAAGTATTATGTCCTTAGACATACTGGGGGCTGGGGGGGGGGTGTTGAGAGAGAGAGAGAGAGAGAGAGATGGGGCTTAATGAGCACACAACACAACTTGGTCATTTTGGGATTACATACGGTTCAATTTATTTTATTTCAACAAATTGTTTGCAGTTGGGGTAAGCCAGAAAACCCAAAGAAAATACATGAGGTTTGACAAGAAGCGACACTACTCCCAAATGACAAAGGAAAAGACTGGAGTTTAACTTCTTGTCAACACAATCATTTTGAGAGTAATAATCCTTTTATTGTAACTCTTGTTAAAACAATATTTTAGTCATTTTGAGAGTAACAATCAGTATATTTTATTTATGGTCAGAAGTGCAATGCTATTGAAGAGAATAACATTTTCATGGACAGCTGCGTTTTCGCCTACTCTTCACCAAATTCTTACTTCAAGGGGGCTTTTTTATACGAGCAAACATGTACACGAATAGACCTCATTATTCTGTAACATTCGAACGACTATGCACACTTATCTTGTAAGCACCAGACTCGAAAAAACCTGGTATATATTCAAGTCAGAGGCAATTATCCTGTCAGTCAAGTACATGTAATTACTTCCTTATTTTCAGAATCCATCTAAAAGAATCCCCACCAGTTCTTCTTGTTCATTGTCCTATTTCCTAGGCTATATGAGTCTAGTGTTTTAGTTATTAAGAGACTTTTAAATGAATCAAATGAATGCAGACATCACAATCATTTTGAGACTGACAAACAATAAACATGGATCGCAGGCTTACAGACGATGCTTATTGTTGCATTCAGCACATCATTGTAAATACTCAATGGAATTGAAGATATTTGAAACAATATTCGTCAATATTGTAGTCTGTAATGGATTCCAAATCCCTCAAATGGCACTCAGCAGCTTTAAAATAACATACATTACCAAAATGTTGTAGTTACCGTGCAAATTCTAGTGAGAATTCTATTCTTCCTCCAGAGGTTTTTAACTGTTGAATCAACTCATCAACACTCGGTGGACTAATACCCCATAAACCTGTTGATGTTCCTTTTAATTTAGTTATAGTTATATCTTCTCGTTCATAGTTAGATAGAAACGCTGATGCATCCTACAAACACAGAAAATATCAATTAAAAATTCATCACAGTTATCATCGTGTAAGATATTAAATACTGGTTGTGGCAGTGAAACCTTTCATTCTATTTTTAGGATACAGATTAATAGAGGTCTAACTATGGAATGAAATATTAATATTTTGTGGCTATTATTAGAACATGCACAGATTAAGAACATGCATAAGAAGTTAGCAATCATTTCAAAAGAGTTATAAGAATTATATGCTTTCGCTCAACACCCATTCCTTAATACTAGACATTGCATGCATTTTTGATGCAGGCCGTGGATATAAAAGTACTTTTGTCATTTAAAATTCATGCAACATACATATGAAATTTATAGAAAGTTATTGCCCAAATTCTAGTAATCAAATAAATTTATTTGTGCATTAAGTAAATATATTATTCAAATAAAAAAACAATTTGTGCAAAATTAGCCAAATCTAAAAAGTGCATTGTTTATAAAAAAAAAAATATGCTAATTAATCATTGTTGCCCTCAAAGTATTTCTTATATAATTGAATGGTTTCCTTCTTTTATAGAACTTGCAAATAAATGGAACTCCTTGATTTTGTTGAAAAATGAAGTGTTGATGTGAATGAATTTTTTGTTTTGATTGTTTGATGTCCTTTTGTCAAATTTGTGTTCCGATATATGGATAACGCGAACTAAATTGATTGAGTTTGGTTGTTTTTTTTCTGTAATACTGAATTTAAAAATCTACACTAATATGAGTCATATATACATGTACCAGTGAGCAGACTTCTGCTTTGATTCCAGGAATGAAAACGTAATCTTTTAATTCATCAGATTCAACACTTTACCTTGACCTAATCTAAAGAGGTTTCATTCGCTCTTTTAAATAAATATTCCTTTTAATTACTATCAAAAAAGCAAAGGCGTAACAATTCAATTAAACAAAAATATCAAAACTTATTTCCAAATATGGTTTTATTTAAATCACAAATTTTGTTGATTATATCAAAACTTATTTTCAAACATGAAATAAAATCTAGGGATTCTGATTAAATCACAAATTTTGTTGTTTATCATGGAGAAGGCAGCTGGGATAAAGGCAGATAATAACCACATACCCGGTACATACATATAATATAATACCAAGGACCCTTCCCGATTTAATAGGATGAGGGTATGCGATGGTGGGGTGAGGGGATTACCAATATTTCACTGTTCTGAAAAAAAAAACCCTCTCACCATTTCAATACTCACAAATATCAAATACTGGGTCAACATTTCAAGTTGGATTGGTTAGAGATGGAAAAGGGTATGGATTTTCTAATTTATCACAATGACTTTATTGATAGTTTCTCTATTCTAAATCAGTCACCTTTTCTTTTTAACACCTATCTCCATCCATATGGATTAAATAATAACTACTAATAATTAAATTATAATCTTAATCTTAAAAATTCATCACAACCTACCGGTCTATGATTAAATAATGGATTATAACTACCCATCAAAATAACAATTTCAACATGAAATTTGAAATGAAAGAAATATTTTTTTGTATAAAACCCAGACCATCATAAAAAAATGTATTTGTGTAAAATACTTTGAATACTACTTGCATTAGATTCCATTAATCCACCATAAGAACTCTGTCATATAATAATAAACAGATCTTATAAATCTACTTACTGGAAAAACACTTCTTATGGGAGTCTTTTCTTAACATACAAATTAATTATTTCACAACAAAGAGAATATGCTAACAGGAGTAACAACAGGATCCCAATTTATCCTGTATTCAGACATTATGTTCTATATTTCATTGGCGAGCTGAAAAAAGTTCTCCTTAATTTTCAGAAGTCTCCGAAAAAAGTTCTCTGATTTTGGAGATTCTAGATATAAGGGAAGTCATTCCTTTCATTCACAAGGCAGAGATACTTAGAGTACAAGATTTAGAGTCTATATTACACACTGACTTTTGACAAGTTGTCAATGATAAAGAATAAAATATTTTGAGCTGTAAGGTGCTCTACAAAAAACTCTCTTCAGCTACTTGATCGCCTTAAACAACAATGACTGTATTCTATGATCATTTAGAGTATTGATTTTAGCCTAGAATAGGTTCAAGAGAAACAGATACCAACAATTTAGTATTTAAATTTGAAGATGTGACCTAGTATAAACTTCTCAACTACATGAAATAATAGAAAGCAATTAACTATATTAGGTATATTTGTCTTTCTAAAGCCTATGGGTTCCATTTCTTAGGACCGTTCATCTTAAATATTACATAAATCATTAAAGTATCAGGAGAAAAATACAGAAGAAAATTGTATATATTGGTATAGTGGTCTTGTTGGAATTATAAATATATAAATGCTAGAATTTACTAAAACTAAGAAATTAAGAAATCCAGTATTCCAATTCTATTTATCAATAATACTGATAATTTGCATGTCACATATCCAAGTTTCTGAGCGTTAACAAAAATAAACAACAGTCAAATTTTGATGTGGAAGCTATGACTTAATCAGAAATACTTGTGAAGATTGTTGAAAATCTAATTTTTGCAAGCTCTGTTTAATGTTAGTTACATTTAGTATATGAAGGGTTGTTTTTTCAGAAGAAAATATTTGACACTCACCCTACTTCTGATGTAATATTTCTGCAACTGATTATATTCTCCATCAGTTATTGTCCGTATACTTAGATTCTGGGCATTCATCGACAACAAAGGCTGGTATCCTGCGATAGTTATTTCAGCTTTACACTGGAAGGGTGGGTTGGGTACGTAAACTGTGTTTGCGAAGGAAAAGAGCACCAATGGGAACCAGATAATAAATATTATAACAAACAGTAGAAGACCTCCTACACCATATTTTACAAGTGTTTTACGTTTATTTCCTCGTGGAGTAGGATACGTCTGAAATAAAGAAACAATTTTTTCTATGTACAAACTAATTTCATTCATAAATTGATAACCAATACTGGTGTAATACATTTTTCTGACAAAAAACTCTTTATAAATCTGTGGTTGAGAGAGAGAGAGAAATGGGGTTTAACATCCACTCGACTCAAACTAGGTCATTTTGGGACTAACATATGGTTCAATTTTATTTCCATAATTCGCTTGCACGTAGGGGTCTTTAGCAGTGGGAGGAAACCAGAGGACCCGAAGAAAAACCCACGAGGTTGGACAGGCGACCCTACTCCTTGTCACGTACAACCGGGGGTTTCGAGTTCAGGATATAAATATTTTGATAACTGAAGGAAACCTGGGAATTCATGTACTATTTTTTTGATTTGGTTGATGATGGCAATCAATTTCTTTCATAACTAAATTCTGGGATATTGGAACTAAATTCCATTCGGTATTTATAAAGATATGATAAATTAAAACTTTTGTCACCTACAAGTGATGGGCCCCTTTTTTTATCCAATTGAATTTAAGCAATAAGATTATCTATCGTTGACATATGGTTTTGTTTTTTTTAATCAGACATTAAATAATAAATAATTTGAGTACTTTAAGATTGGATTACACAGTGAAAACTTAGATGGTTAAATTATCTGTTAGTCTCTGAATATTACTTACAGCTTCAGCATGTCTCCAACATTTCAAAACAAAAATATTAGCATAAATATCTTCCATTTGTAGCCAGCTACCCAGAGCTAATGTCGTATCTGTCCAGATCCAATCCATAAGAGCTCTTAACTCAAGAAGGAAGGGTACAGCCAAAAATCTACAAAAAAAAAAATCATTGATCTCATACTTATCATAAGATTTTCTAGAATGTTTACCAAACTTGACTAGATTTACAGGATTTTTTAACAGTAGCAATACTACTGCAAAATTAATAGTACTCATTTTAAGCATTATGTTTTCGTGTTCGGTAATAAATTATTAATTATGTATAACTTTCTGTAAAAATATCAATAATGTCAAAACCCATAAGATTTCAATACACAAACCTAACTAATAGTAATATATAATCTTATAGAACTGGAAGTTTTCACACCTTAGAGATTTCACCTTTTCAATACACAAAACTAACTAAAAGTAATGTATATTCTTTTAGAAATAGGGGTATTCGCACTTTAGATAGTTAATACCTACATAATAACTACTGTTTCAACACTGCTCTTTATAAATAACAACTTTGATCTCTTTGTGGCATAATCCAAATTTAGAAATTCACAAATTCAATAAGGTGAGGATAACTGCATGGGTAACATTATCACAAAAACTTACCCTTTGAAGAGGAATAGATTAAGGTAATTGTATTTCTTGGTGAGGAAATTACCCAGTATTCGAGTAGGATAACCACAACGTATTTGATAAGCTGATAATCCAAAATAGATACATTTAGTGAAATACCACAATTGGGCTGGAATATTGTCATAAAAACTCCTGAAAATAATAACAAAACATGCAAATGAATAAACCCTTTTTAATTTTAAAATATATATTTTATATCTATCCCCTGGCAAAGGTTTTTCTCTTCAAGTCAGAGGGCCAACTGCCATTAACTAGTGAAATCCAAATCTAACTGAAACATGTAAATCTACTGATCATCATATTAAATGAAATGAAATCGGTTTAACGACCTACTGTCCTGCTCCGACTGGGATAATGAAGATGGGCATAGGTCATACAGTGTGCTATGAGAGAAATTTTGCCCAGACAACAGCACTACAGCCAATTCTTCTATCGAACTCCAACTGCCAACGATCTTTTACATGCACGCATATGTGTACTCGGAACCTTGATCATCATTTTAAATGTTTTAAATCCCTTGAAAACCACAATATGGTGAAAGCTGAATCTCTAAAAGGAATATCAGTCCAATTCCATTCAGAATGAATTGAAAATTAGGTATATCATCTTGATTGATCGTCTTTTTAATCCAAATGACTATAAGCCGGGAGATTACTTAAGTAATCAATTTGAGTGTAAATAAGTATTATCCAAATAATGTACGATCAAGATTGTCGATTTTAATGCCCACACCTTATTTATTTATGGGTATAAAAATAATTTACGATGAGAAGCATTAGTATTTACCTTTTCGTAACAGCAGGTAAAACAAAGAACATCCATATATGTATAAGGATAACTAATGTTATTTGGAACACAAACTTCCCTACAACATTTTTACGTAGAAATAGAGCTCTATCGATGATGATTAACACAAACTGGGTGATTAACATAACTAAGAACGGCACTGGTACCTGAAATCAATATCAATATCATAATGTCAGACAAGCTGTATAAGAAGTGGAGTGGTTTGAGAACCGTTTCTCCAGTAATACATGCAAAAATATTTCCACTAATCACTACAGGGTTCATCATTTCACAATTTGACTCAACACATACAAGAAATGAAATTAAACGAAATAGGATTTAACGTCCTACTCCGAACTGGACTTATGAAGATGGGTATACGCCATACAGTGTGCTATGAGGGAAATTTTGCCCGTACAGCGTTACTACAGCCTATCGAATTCCAACTGTCAAGGGATCTTTTACATGCATGCCAATGTGTACACAGGACCTCAGTTTTCCATCCCATCCAAATGACTAGACAGCTCTCCCTGTCATGCCCTCCATCTTGCATCACTGACAAGGAGGAACCATGCCGGAAAATCGGGATGAAGTTCATTCAATAAAGGTAGATATATAGGCTATATCGTCATATTTTTAGTTTGGTTATCCTACATCACTGATAAGGGGGAATAATGCCAGATGAACTTTCTCGGCCAATGCTGGGATTGAAACACAACAAGAACTGATAGAACTTGAATCCACGTCACTTGATTGCAATCTGCAAATTTTGGATTTTTAGGCCTCACAATCAAGTATTAGAACTGACAGAATTGTGATAGAACATGTATCCATCACAATTGATTGTAATTCTGCTAAGTTGTTCTTGGCTTAAGGCAACATATAGTGATATATCAACTGACAATGAGTAGATGAATTTAATATAGAATATAATTACCCTATTTTCTGACAGATAGCTGGTAACATCACCTGCTCCTGATGTTTGCTGAAAAATAATTGATAAATTCATCCATGAGTAATTTAAAAAAAAATACTTTTAGTGCAAAACTTGTTTTAAAGATAGGAGATATATCCATAAGAATGGCAATCATAGAATTTATTCCTTAAAAAATAAAGAACATGAACTTACTGCTGGTCCAAAGGCCCAATAACCAAAGACGACAATTATAAATGTGATAAAATCACACAAGAACATAGGAGCGTACACATCAACAGTAGCTACATAGGTTGATTGGGTGACTTGTATGTAGAAATCTTTCAATGGTTTAACACATTTCTTTAACCTGTAATTATAAAAAACATTTCTTTAACCTGTAATTATAAAAAACAATCACACAAGGTTAACACATTATTCTTCATCAAATTCCAAATATCAAAAATTCTTCAAAGATGACATCAACGAGTTTACAGGTGGGCCTTGGTTTTTCCTCTCATACGAACGACCAGACACTTGTCCTATACAGACAAAGGAAAAACAGGCTGGAAAATCCAAGGGACTTTCTCAAGCCAACACAGAGCTTGAACCAGGATCAGCAACATACTCATTGAATGATTGAATGGGGTTTTAACTCTTTAGCACAGGGTACATGTAAATATTGGAACTACAGAAAACTACTGCTACCTAGACTGACCAAAGTCACAACAGTGATATCATAAACAAATGTCATGCAGCAAGTATACGATCCTTAAATAGTTCACAGCTGTTCATCTGACTCGGGCAGTTTGCGGCGCTAGAGAAAGCAACAGTATGGGACAGTTTAAGACAGCCCAGGTGATAAAGGGTTAATGTCTCACTGACAATTTGCCGAGCCAGCATCATTTCTGTCTCATCTTCTTCCAAGATTTCTGTTACGTTTACTGGGTTTGTTAACAAATAAGTTTTAAAATTTGGTACCTTCGCAAAATTTTGGTACCTTCGCAAAATGTTTTAGCAATTTAAACAAAAGTTTAGGTAAAAACTTTTTTCATTAACTTACTGTTGTTTTTGAGATCTTGCAAGTAAAAATGAAAAAAATCAAGAAAGGGAAAAAAAAAAAAAAGATTAAATAGTTTTGGAACCCATGAAATAATCAAAGGTCAAGAATTATTCAAATGTGAATGTTATTGTATAGTTAGTGTACAATAATATAATTATTCTACTTGTCAGCTGACAAGTGTCCTCAGTCTATCATAAAGTGTAAGAGCAAGAATACTTTCTAACATTCAGCTTCAGTCTAGCAAATCTCACTAGTTCTGCTGCCCACGATAATCATGGCTATAAAGTGATAACAATATTGTTATTTCGTTAGAAAAAGAAGTGGTGTCACCTATTCTGCAAGAAGTAGACCAAGAACTGAAAATAGCGATTAACCTGCCATTGAGTAACTTTTAAACCAATGGCTCAATAACAGAACATATGGTATTACTATTAACCATATAGTTTCTGAACATTTCACAGGCTTTACACTGGATTTCTGTGACAGTTGTTGCCTAGATATCCGACATCTCAGTGTAAATATCTGAAGACAGCCGGATTATGATGTTGTGGGAACTACAATGCTGCTTTTTTGGTTTATTTTCAATATTCCACCTTGTGGTGTCAGTTGTGGAGCCATTTAGATTTTTTTTAAATACATACCCTTCTTTTAGTTTACTTGGTCGTTTAGGTCTTTGTTCACCTGATTCTTCAATAGTAGAACCAGATGTATCATGATGTCCAGAAGTATTTCCCTGACCATCTTCCATTAGAGCAAGGTCTCTTTTAGTCTATAAAGTAATATAAAGAATTGAGAAAAGTTTCAGAGATATAAACAGCATAAAGGAATTTATTAAAGGCAATGGGTTATGGAAAACAAATCTTGTATGGAAGGACTGAAGGATGCAGGAAATATGTAAAATGTTTGGAAGAGAGGGATTAGACTTTGCCTGTTTCCCCAATCCTAAAATTCAATAAAGTAGTGTCTATAAAAAAAAAAAAATACCTAAAACATAAAACCTTTCCTGAATATTCATTAATTTCATCTGGTAAGTCATATTACATAGCATCGTGGTGTAAATACTTACGGGCATGGGTGAAGTTGGTGGACTAAGTTCTTTTTCACCAGCTTTCATTAAATCTGCTTCAATATCATCAGCATCTTTCCATAAACCATATCTCTGTTAAAAAATGTACAAATATATGTCATAAACTATATGTGTGGTAATAAATGGTATAAACCATTTTAAGTTTTATCAAAATTGGATAAAAATTGTGTCCTCTAGAGGTGCCAAAACCTTTGTATTACATATTTATACACAATTTGCGTACAAAGAACGGCCATTTTGTCAGTCAGTTTCATTTCGATTTTCCCGAAATTATAATTCAACCATCATTATGGTGGAATGGTGATATATCTAAATGGTTTTTGAAATCAGAAAAAAAAGTGTGCCCTCTAGAAAATCCACAAGATAAAAATGAGATTTTTTGACCAATCGGGGGCCATAATCCAGGAAGTTACGTTCGGATATGTGTGATTATCAAAAGGAACCAAGATCTGTATGATAAAAACATATATTTAAAGTTTCATCCAAATCGGATAAAAACTGTGGCCCCTAGAGGGCCCACAACATTGATATACCATATTTTTACACTATTTGATTTTCACGATTTTCAAACTCAAGTTTCATCAAAATCCGATCAAAATTGTAACCTCTAGAGTGTCCACAAGCTAAAAACGTGATTTTTCGTACAAGCAGGGGCCATAATCATGAAGTTATGGTCCGATACATGCCAATATGGAAAAGAACCAAGATCTTTGGGAGATAAAAATTGTGACCTGTAGAGTGTCCACAAACAAATTGTGGATGGACGGACAGGGGCGAAGACAATATATGTCCACATGAAAATGTGGGCGTATAAAAACACGAATAAATATTAACCAACAGTACCATGGTTAATTGTACCATTTGAACAACTAGACAAGCAGACGTCAACCTTGGAACTAACCTTGAGTATAGATCTGTGTATAAATAATGCAAGTAGTAAAACCAGATCAAGTGAAGCGTAGTTAGCTTTCTGTTCAATACCAATAATACGAGGTGGCCAGAATGGATCATCAGTAAATACAACCTCATTCCAGGGAAAGAATGAAAATTGGAATAAATACTTGATTACAACCAATGCCTGAAATACAAGTAAAATAAACAAAAGTTAGCAAGGCATCTGTTAATTAAATGTAAACACATTTTTTCTAACCATATGCAAACAAGTTCTATATGCAGTCTAATTATTTGTCTTTTGGGCAAATTACCCAAGCTAACAGACTGTTACAATAATGGTACCACTGGGGTATTAGGGAATGCCCATACAGCATCGCTTAAAATTTGATGTATATCACATAAATAAAAGGGTCTCAGCCGGCTCAGATCCTGCCAATAGCAATAGAATAAATATTTACCTCAGTGTATGTAATAACGGTAATCCAGAATCTTTTAGATGGACGAGGGATGGACAACATTCCCCATAAGAACACCATTAATGGTAAAGGTAGGGAGATCAAACAGGCATAGATCATCTGATTTAATATCATGAGGAAATAACACAGTAGTTCCGATCTCGACACTAATACATAATATGTGGCTTTTAATAGACGATAAACTATTGGCTGATTTTTCTCAAATTCTGATTCAGCGTCCTCAATGTAGTCTTCCTCATCCATTAATTGTTCATCCAGACTGAAAAATGAATATGTCGGTAAGACGGAAAGTTTGAAATACAGGATACTAATATTACAGTATAAGAATATAAAATTCAATACAGGATGAAAATTGGTTAAAAAAAATTTAATTGGAAGAGTTGCGGTGCCCTGTTTTAGATTCTATTCACAATAAATATTTAGAGACTGCCGTAAAAAAATATTACATGTGCAACTGGAATCGAAATAACTTGAAATGGGGTTTAACGTCCTACTGTTCTGCTGCTATACTGGGATAATGAAGATGGGCATACACCATACAGTGTGCTATGAGGGAAATTTTGCCCGGGCAGCGGCACTTTTACGTGCATTCCAATCTATACACGGGACCTCGGTTTTTCGTCTCATCTGAAGGACTAGACAGCTGCCCTTGTCAGGCCCTCCATTCTACACCACTGACAAGGGGAAACCACATCGGAAAATCCAGATGAATTTTCTCAGCCAATGCAGGGATCGAACACCCGACCTCCAGGCTAGCGAGCCAGCGTCTTAACCACCTAGCCACCGTGGCTCCCGCAACTGTAATCAATCTGATTAAAATACAGATCTATATTTCATTTCTTTTTTACTTTCGACGATCTCTACTACAGGAAGATCTAACCAGTTGTAGTGAGCGGTCGCATCAGGGGTCATATGAGTGGCTTATGACCCTATGATGTCAGGTATTTTATTAACCAATCAGCGTTGAGGTTTCAAGTAGGATACCCACAATTCAGTGCATCGCACGACAAGAACTTGCTGCAACAGACAATTTCCCTGGCTAATCCCTCACATCAACCAGAACACGGGTAATATAACATCTTTTCCAGATCCTAGTGTAGTAAGGACATGTAAAACGAAATTTTGAACTATAAAAAACGCAACGAAATAGGATCAGTAATGAATCATGGTATAATAACTTGTGAGATATCCGTATATAGTATCAAAAAAAAAAGTACCAATATTAAAGTTATTTATTTTAAAATGTTTGACATCCTGTATATTGTTATTTCTAGTTACCTTAGAGAACTAACGGCGCCATCCATATGATCAATATTAGAGACTTTAACTTCTAGTAAATCATTATCACTAATATCACCAGCATCCTTAGTTCCACCATCAGATTCCGATGTTGAACTGTTTCTTCTCTCGACCACAATCAAGTTTTCTTTCTCAGTCTAAAATATAATTTGAATATGTTTTCTATTTTAAGCATGCTGCGCAAAAATATTATTTAGATCAATGTTTGGGGGGACCACAAAGTCAAAGGAATCTATATGGGTAAAATAAAAAGGGGATGTGAAAAAAAACATACCCAAGTAAGGAATTGTTAGTATTTGGGCAACGAATTTCAGTAACTGACATCAACATCACATTAACAGGAATAGCAATGATATAGCCATGGGTTATAGCATCACGGTGTTGATCAGAATGACTCTTAATAACATGGCTGATGTTAGGGTTTATCAAATATAACGCTGTTAATATGACAAATCACTGAGCAGATTATATAAAGATGTGATCGGTCCTCAGGTATTTGTAAAAAGTTAAATGATAACTTGCCAGTCAACCATGTAAATTTCAATGGCGTATTCTGGCTAATAATTTGTTAAAGGTTTATAACCTGATGTAGATTAGTCCCTGTTTTATAATGTATAATAATCATAGGTTTCTTTTCCTACTTTATTATATTAACGTGTACTAATATTTACCTGAATTTTCTGTTTTTCCAATTTCATTTCTTTTTCTAGTTTCCTAGCAACCAGACGATAATTTCTAGAGATTCTGTTGAATAAGTTGATAAACCAGTTGGCGATACTTCGTAAAAGTGTGATCACAAAGCTTCCCCATTTTTTGGCTACAATAATGATATAAAACAATTCTTAACATTCAGAGGCATTTTTTCGGAGTCCTAATATGACTATATGACTAAATAGAGTAGGGGGTGGGTGTATTGTATTGATAACAACAGTAGAAACAAAATTTTAATTGTATTAAAAGTAGTTTATTCTAGCCTGTTCCCCCAATCCAATTTCAAATGAAATAAAATAAAAGAAAAAAAAATTCTATTATACAGATTTACCAACTTAACTTTCAAATGACTGACACATGAAATTTACCAATCTGATTAAAACCCAGATCCTATTTCGTTTCATTTTTTTTTATAGTTCAAAATTTCGTTTTACTTGTCTTTACTACACTAGGATCTGTAAGAGTTGTTATTAGAGGCGTTTTGGTTGAATAAAGTAATGAAACAGTCTGTTACGGTGTCTTCTTGGCAAGCCATGCATGGAACTGTGGATAAACCACTAGAAATGCCAACCCTGATTGATTAATCAATATCTGACGTCATAGGGTCAAAAGTTGCTCGTAAGACCCCTGACGCAGTGTAGGCCATCGAAAGTATAAAAAAAACCGAAACGAAATATAGATCTGTATCTTAATCAGATTGGAAATTTACAGAACATACAATTGAAACCTTCAATTGATAATTTTCTATTTTCACCTGTGCGGTGGTGAAAGAGGTAATTGATATTTCACACCAAAATAAAAATCACACTTGGTGCATGCAGAATTGGATTACTTTTGTTAATTGAAAACAGGTTCACACAGTCAATGTAGTTAATCTATAATAATTTGTCAAGTGTGGATAACTAAGAATCTAAATTCAAGCAGGTAAAAATAAATTGTTTAGAGATAAATTTTCACTTTCAGATTCTAAAGAATGAAATCAGGAACATCAGAGGTGGGATGCAGATATGACACTATTTATCATCAAACAAAATTCTGTAGTTTTGTTTTACCGAATCGAAATCATTTGTAAACTGGACCCCTCATTTTATGGTCGGGATTAAGGAAGGGATCTAACTATTTTACCTGTTTCAGGGGGGGATTCTATATCATCATCATCTACAGTATCATCTCTTTTACCTTTAATTTCAGACTGAAAGAAAGAAATGTTATTGAACAATTACATATTGTTGGGGTGATGCATAAGAAACTAAAATAGAAAACACCCAAAATATGACTCTTAAAGAAAGATTAGACCTTTCCACTATAAGATAAGTATAATCAGTATTAAAAATAATATCCAAAATAACTCTTGACCAGACCCCGAGTTCACAAGGCGTTCTCAGACTTAAGTTAAGAATTTACTCAACTTTCAATCACTGTTTATGAGAAATATCTTTGATCCAGAAACACAAAAATTTGCACATAAGTTTCTTATTGATGCATTTGATACATTAAAACAACAAACGTTTTATAAAGAGCTAAATTTCAGTTAAAAATAAGGTGAACAATTTTGAGTAAATTCTTAACTTAAGTCTAAGAATGCTTTGTGAACTGGGGACCTGGCTAAGAACTAGCCTACACACATCAAGGAAATATTCAAGAGCGTCCGCAGAACTGGAATCCTAAAACTTCTATATCTCAGAAATTGATAGATAAACCTGTCTCTAATTTTGTTTTGCATGCAATCTAATTTATACAACCCTGATCATGGTTAATCAGAAATTATTTGACGATCTAGGATGTTCTAATGTTCTATTCTAATTGTACTAAAATTGATTCTAAACAACAAAGAATAGCTGAATTACATCCCTTGAACTGTGAAAGTTAATAGTATCAATAGATAAGAATTGTCTGGATTCAAAAGAGATACCAGTTTACTTTCAGTTACATAATATTATCTGAATGAATAACATGAAATGGGATTAACATCCTCCTTTTCAGTTGATTGTTTCAGTTGTCATGTTGTAATTACTAGAGAGAATGTTCAAAATTTAAATGATGGGAATGATACATAAAGGGACATTGATCAATATAAATTTGTTCAGTAGTTGCTGCAAAAAATGTAAGGAGGTCTGCTATACTGCTACAACATACTCTTTTTGGTCAACAACTCAATGTTGCAAAGCAAATAATCTAAATTATGTTTCTTTTAATAAAGTATATTTTACAGTAGAATAGAGAGAAGCGTCAGATTCAAAACAAGTTTTCTGACAGCAAAACAAATCAAAACATTTTATATATGCCTGTACTAAAATGTTGTAAGTGAAAATGAAACACTTTAGAATAAAAAGACAAAAAGACAACAAATAACAGAACAAAGATTTAAAAAAAAACAAAAAGCCAGAACAAGCATTCTACATAATTCAAGCAATCTAAAAGGAAAGAAAATACTATAAAACAGAAAAGTGCAAATAGAGTAAGTTTTAAAAATAACTAAATAGAAAAATTCAGTAAGAGCAAACCGTTGTGGAATTAAAAGGTAGCTAAAAAATATAATAAATATTAAAAAAAAAAGAAATTAAAAACAACAGAAACCAAGCACTCTAAAAGAAAGGCATGTACTACATATGTTACACTACAGAAAGGAGAAAATGCTTTCTAAAATAAATTCCTTTTTTTATTAGAAGAAATGAGAAAGCATGCAAGCATTTTATTTAAAATAAGTTTCACTAAAAAAAAAAGAAGAAAACAACAAACAAAAACTATATATTAGTATATATTGAGTGATAGTAGGTACTAACTGTAGATCCACCATAACCACTTATACGTTCTTGACTGGCAGCTCTATCTATAGCAACTTGAGCTCCAGAATCCATCGCTGTTGTTACTACCTATAAATCACACAATTAGCTTCAATTATATAATACAGGTTTTTATCATCATATAGATTTCATGCTAGATTCAAGGATATACATGCAACAGTACAGAAAAGCTGTAAATATACTTTAAATTTTCAGTGCACCTATTTCACACAAGTTTCATATTTTCTGATAACATGTGTGCAGTGTGAACATTTGGGAGGAGGGGGGGGGGCAGGGGAGTGGGGGTATCTACTATTTTCAGACAGTCGGTGAATTTTATAGCAAGAACAACCAGATCCTTATCTAAATCTTACATAATGCATCTTTATTAAGTAGCTCGATAATAAATCCAATAATTGTAACCATTATATTGATTCCCTCAAAATCATTTCTCACCTGTAATGGTCCAAGATGAACGTCCTTAACACTAGGAGAACGTTTACCCAATGTTAGAGAATCTGTCTGATCCGGAGCCTCTTCTTCATCAGATTCTTCATCAAAGAGATAATAATCTCCTGATCGTATTGCTAAAATAGAACAACATACCATGATAAAAAATAAACACATTTTCACTGATGATTTTCTGTTCTTCACGACCTTGATAAATAATCAGTAAAATGGCCACTTTAGTCACCTGAAAGATGTTTAATTTCACAACTTAAAAATCTGGAACTAAAAGCTTTTGAACAGCACAGCCAAGTACTTTTAGATTTTAAATATGTCTTTATCCCAAAGAAATAAGAATGAAAATTTGTACTGGACCAAAGAACAGAAAATCAAATTAGTGTAGCCTAAATACTTAATAGAGTAAAAATAACTTTTGGTTAAGTTTGATTTTTGTTACTTAGGTTTTACACAATATTGGAAGACAATTAAAACACATATATTATCATATTTATACATTGAAGGTTAAATGCAATAAATTAATAAAACAGGATTTATAAAACCCACAGAGTAAGAATACAGTGAGAATGGACATAGTACAAAACATTATGGGGTAAGTGTAATGATCAACCATACTTATAAATGATTCAAATTAATATTGTTATGTTGATTAATGATTGTTATATTCAACATGATTTACATGTAGATACACATAAACATAACACAGTAAGCATCTTTACTGATGCTCTTTTCAATAAATAAAATACCAATGTAAGTAAATGTATGTTATGATATAAAACATGCTACACTTGTTAAACATTTTCTAAAATTATTTCTATGTCACATTAACTGATCATATTATTAGTAATCAACTATAACACATACGTATCAAAAACAGTTACTAATTTATTAGTTTGATAATGTTGAGAAAACACTCTTTGAAACGTCGCCCAAATAAATAAGTAGCTGTTTTTCCGTAGTAGGTGTTATAAATTTATTACTCTATCCAGTTACTAAGGCCTCTAAAAGATTATCATATTACTATTAGTACTTAATATATTATCATGCCTATTTCACTCCATGCAATATTATCTTGAGACGGAAACTCAATCTGTTTCACAGTGCCAGAGGTAATGCAAAAGCCTTCTTATACAGATATACTTCCTACACCATTATTGTTTTCCTTAATAATTTAAAAAATTGTTTTAGAATTATATGTTCAGAAGAAAAATAGTTAATATTGCGGGCTAATTAACTTGCCCCGATGTCATCCCTCTCAGTGAACGTAGCAACCAAGCAAATATTTACTGATCAGTTTGGCGGAAGCTTTGTACAAATCTTTATCATTATTATTATTATTTACTGTAGTATCATTATTATTATACTGAATAAGTATTGTTCTTGAATAATTGTAGAAACGTGGCTCCGATTAAAATACAGTAATTGTTTTCCATAGAACTGGTTTTTGGGTTGATTTTTTTTTTTTAAATTCCATTTAAACAGAAAAATAAAGAGCCTTTTCTGCCACAAACATTTTTTTTCCTTCTCAAAAATCACATTGATAATCAAAATTTATTGATAACAGTATGTTAAAAGTTGAATAAAATTTTAAAATACCAATTGTTTGTTGGAATGATTTATAACACAGTAAATACGATAAAAGAACCATTATCCTATATTAGGTACTTTCTTATTTAAAACATGTAAAACCACTAAAGCAAAGGTTGTTAATAACAGTATTTTATTGGTTGAACTAAATTTCAAAAACTTCATGCATTAAAGTTTTCTGAATGAATGAATGATATACAAGCTCATATAGTAATAACTATTTATGATAAAAGAACCAATATTCTTTATTACTGGTTACTTTAATAGTGTTTAAACAAAAGCCATGCATGCCATGTCTTCTATTGCTACAAAATAACTACATGTTTCAAATGTCATTCTCAAAATCCTAACAGCTCTATGACTCCACAAAAATGGACAGTTCCCATTATCATAGTTTATAACAGGTGCAAACAATAGTTTTGCATTAGTCAGAAATAATTACACTGTGAATACTGAATAGGAGTAAAGAGCCGACAGATCTCCAAGAATGCTAATCAAATGTATAAATAACATATATTGTGTCAAATACTAATGGGGGAACTATATTTTACACACTTCACGCAGTGTATTAATACATAGGTTAACATGTTACTACATACGCTGGGATATTGCTGAAAAATTATTTTGTATTAAATTAAATTAAAAAAACACAAAAATAAATTGAGCATTGTTTAAGATAACAAAAAGCCGATGTTAAAATCAAGTGCATGCCACATAAACTGATGAATGATAGGGTTAAGTTAAGCTGATAAAGCTACACAAGTTACATATGAAAGGAGAATTTATACAAATGAATAGAAAATACAGATGAATTCAACAGAATGCAATATCTAGGAAAGTTAATTAAACAACCCAAGTTTTAAAGTTAAGTGTTATATATTAAAGAAACATTCCTAGAAAAAACAAGTTTGTAATAATAGTGTGTTGTTTGAAGAGGTTATTTCCTTAAAGACTCTTATGACATTATATCAAAGCAATGTTTAAGATTAAAATAAATCATATGTTGCCAGCCAAAGAAACACATCCCCACCAGCAGCTAAATCGTGCACACAGTCATGAGCTAAACAACTGATAATTATTTCAGAAAAATCAGGTCATAATTAAAGTCCTTAAGGTACTATGGAGCCATGGTGGCTCAGTGAGTAAGAAGCTTGATCACTAACCAGGATGTTGCAGGTTGGCCTAGAAGGTTCCTTAAGATCTTTTGGTGCGATTTCAGTGTACACATTGGTGTGTACGTAAATGAACCCTTGCCGCTGTCTGGGCAAATTATCCTCATAGCACACTGCATAACGTATGTCTGCCTTCATTAGCCAAGTTTGTATAGATAAGTCGGATGTTTAACAAATTCAATGAGATATATGAATTATTGTAGCCTCTATTACGCAAACAAGAAATGTCAATGACAGATGACCAGATGGACTGTGTTACTGTACTGTTAAAAAATCTTAACACATAAAAAATTGAAGAAAATGAATTTGTGAAGATTAAACAAACCTTGATAATGTTCCTCGGGTTCAACATAATTCTTTTTTAACTTGGCCTGTTTATCTTTTAGATACTTCATCTTTTTCTTGATATTCAGTAATATTTCATCCTCAGCAGCTCTCTGTCTATTAACTTCACGGATATTAATACGATTAATATATTCAGCACCCCTGAAATGTTTTAGTAAAGATTATTCAAATAAAATTTTTAGTTTTTAGCGGTATTTCAATAATTTGATTATGCGTAGGGGTCTTTAGCAGTAGTGACAAACCAAGGAATCTAGAGAAAACTTGGGACAGACTGCCCTACTCCTTGTCATGTGCAAGCAAGGAATCAAAACCACGGCAGCACTTGACTCAATGGCAGACCATTAGAAGCAACAGGCACACATTAAACCGTTCAGCCCAACCCAACCCCCCTTTTGCATTGGTATGATCACATCCATTAAATTTGTTTAATTTTTACTTCGGTATAATCACACACATTAAAATTGGTTAAATTTTTATATATTTAAATTTTACTGTGGTTTTATCACTGCATTGAAACAATTTTTTTTTTACCTTGAAGCAAGACGATGCTGAGCCTCAATTTCATCAACAACATGTCTGAAGTAATGACAACTATAGATACGTCGTTGTAGCAACAAGAATACAAAACAAACAACATCCCAGGCTAGACCAGTATTATCTTCTTCAATACGACATTTTACATCAGCAGCTGTAGTATGCAACAGTTAATATAAAATTAAAATAGACTTAGAGAAAAAAACATTAATTAAAATCTTATTCTTAGAGACTTATTTTCACATGGACAGGCCAAAATCGAACTGTCAGTCCTATACTAAATGTTACATATTAATAAACTTCAATCAGTAGAGTTTTACTTTAACCCCATAAATGAAATGACAGGAAATGAAGTTTAACTTCCTACGGTTCTGCTCTGACTGGGCTAATAAAGACGGTCATACGCCATGCAGTGTGATATGAGGGACCGCGACTCCCTTTTAACCCTATGTCAGATGAACTACAGATTAACTAATTTCACTTGAACAAATATTTGTATCAAGGAAATCCATTTTTTATTAAATTCAAATATTGTAAATGTAAATATGTGTGAAATAAATGTACTTACGTGGGGTAATATCAATATTAGACATCCAACAGTTGATACCCAGTAGTTGTATTAACCAGCACTGATTTTCATACAAATGTTTTATATATACACAGCCAACTAACTATAAAATACAATATATAATAATTATATAACACAGTCAACTAACAATAAAATACAATATTCACAATTATACTATCTGTACTGGGATCAAATGAAATGAAATGGGGTTTGATGCGTTACGTTTCTGCTCCATACAGGCTAATGAAGATATGCATATATATGTCATGCAGTGTGGTATGGGGGAATTTTGCCCAGATAGCAGCGCTATGGCCTACTCATACTTCGAATTCCAACTTTCAAGGGTTCTGTTACATTCATGCCAATTTGCACACAGGATCTCCATTTTTCATCTAGTTAACAGACATTCTCAATGACTAAAGCAGACCATTATATCTTTGTGAGATGATTTAATTGTAGACTGATTTATCTCTCTATATTATATATATTTACCTGTAAACAAGCTTTAGCAAACAAAACAAAGAAAGTATAACCAATCAGTATATTCCACCTGTAAACAATTTAAATATAATACATATATCATCTCATGAACAACATTAAAACATATCATCTCATGAACAAAATTTAATATATCATCTCATCAAAAACATCTAATGAAAATACACCCATATTACACCACTACTGTTTCCAATATACAGTCTATAGAACACTGTGTTCTGATCACTTCAAGAATTGAAAGGTTTGAACATTAAATAATATACTATTCAAATTTAACTAAAATTCAGGTCTAAAAAGTGATCTTTTATATGATTAATTTAAAAAAAAACAACATTAGACACCATCTTGACCTCAACAGATTGAAGTAATATGAACATATCTTTTTGTTTGAATTGATCAACATTTTTGACCAATATTTTGGTAAGAGTACTTTTTATTATGCATATAGTCTGAAGTACTTTAAAGTCTATGTTTTCCATTTATTCTGTTATACTGCGCTTTTCAGCTATGGTCACCAACATCCTACACCTATCCTAGGCACAAACACAAAGTCAAATTTATTTCTGTGGGACAGAAGAGTGGAAAGACATTATGATGGAGCTCATTTTCAATATCACCAACTCTATTCAATTTAGGATAAAAGATAACTTTATCGTCAATATTCAGATCGCTTGCACAAAAATGTCAAATTTGTTGCATGGAAATGGAAACACAAATATTTGTTAACTGCCATATTTCTATATAGCTATGTGTAAAAAGTTTAAGGAAGATATCATGATATGCTCAGAAACAATAATGGGAATGAAAGATGGACAATTGGAGCCTATTCAAATTTCTCTCCCCATAACTTGGTTTGGAGTCGGATAACAATTTTTTTTAAAATGTACTTACCCGCGCAGCAGTTTACGAAGAGGTTTGAGTAAAAACTCCTGTCCATACCACATAAAGCAGAATACAGCAATAACATAACCCATACTAAACAAATTAATTCTGGTCGTTCCAGTAATAAATATTATAGCCAGGGTTACCCAGAACATATATTCAAATACAGCATATTTTATAACATCCAGGTAGGAACTGTAAGAAAAATAAAACACACACTTTTATAACAACATAAATGTTTAAATTTATTACGCAGTTTTTGGTAACAAACACAGTATGAAACAATCAATTGGATTTATTACTAAAGAATTTTCAATCATTGTTCTTTTATCTTTATTAAGCAAATAAATCTTTAACAAAACACTTATATATATCTGCAAATTGATGATTTAAATTTGATTTAATATTCAAAATTAAACACTACATTTAGATCGCATTGTAACTAACACTAAGTATGATAATTCTATTTTTTCTCTTTCATTTGTACAGTATTTTGTACAGTCAGTGCATTCCCTTCTGAATTCAAATATTAAAAGAATCTATTATGTGTACCGGTAGCACTATTTATGCAAATCCACCATTATTTCAACTGATATCACAATAATTTATATCGATATTTGATAATATACCGTTCTTTCTGTCAAATTGTCATTTTTAATTTAAAATCATAGTGTTTTTATGTCAGAATGTTATTTCCATGTAACTTTGGAAGTCGTAACCAAGGGACATAACTCCTCTAATACACAAATCTAACCATAACAACTATTATTTCTACTCATATCACAATAATTTATATCAAATTTTTATAATCTATCGTTCCTTTTGCCAAATTGTCATTTAAATTATCGCGTTTTTTTGTCAAAATGTGATTTTGAACAAAGGGACATAACTCGTGTTGAACACAAATCTACCCAAATTCACCATCATTTCGACAGTTTAAAATAGTTTAAAATCATAGCCTTTTTTTTTTGTCAAAATCAATTCTTGTTTGGGCAGAGTACGGAAGGGAAATAACTCGGGGACAGCATAACTCTATCCATAATTCTGAATGATATATGCCTCAACAGGGTGCGTTCCTCTTAGGCAAAAGTCATTTTACAATACATATATATGCAAAGACCTAGTCATGCTTGCTTTGTAAGGCAAAAGTTGGCTCGTGGAATAGGAGGAGGGGACGGGGGGGGGGGGGGGGGGGGGGGGGAAGCAGGCTTAATCATTGCTTAATATTAGCAGTTTTATTGGAAGAATTAACCACACCACTTCAAGGAAAATATAAAATTTTAATAGAATATTACCTGTGATAGAACATTTATGTGAACAAAACTTATAATTCATATTAGCAAAAGATCAAACAACTATAAACAAATATATATATACCTATCAAAATACACGATCAATGCTGGATTTAGATAAAGAGAGGACCCTCCCAATCTCCCACCGCTAGAGGAAGATGGAAGAGTGTTTTAAACAAAATTGAGTAAAGATGAGGATGGTAGCGGGTGTTTAAGATGAAAGAGCATGTAAGCAAGGCCAATGACAGTGTCAAAATATCATACACCTTGACTGGAAGCCCCGTAGATTTTGTGGCCCTAGGCTTATATCTGCCAAGCCTATAGGTAAATCTGGCACTGTACATCATAAAATACACACAGAGAATATTGCTCAAACACAATAAAGTGAACTATTTTTTAAAACTGCGCGTTCTGTCGGCTCGAATCTGCTTCATCTGACCTGGCTTTTTACCGGATGAAGTCTTGGGACACATTACTTTAAACTTTTTGTTAGCGGAAAAAAAAACATCTTTTAGTTGGATTTGCTAAAGTTCTTTTATCATTCAAAAATCTTCAAAATACGTCATTTTTTTCGCGTTTATTTTTGGAGTGCCAAACATCAAAATCAAATTTATAAAATTGTGAAGCTTTTTGATTAAGTTTGTAGCTACCATATCCATATAAAGCGCGTCGTAAATTTAGAATTTGGATTTAAGATGCCAAGGTTAGCTTTTCAATAAGATTATTGATAGTGTGTTGTTTCCAGTCTGTAAGCTGTTTTAGTCTGTGAATAATTGATTCTGACTTATTGTTAGTCCACAATTTACTTATTTTATTTTCGCGAAGTGGTAAATTTACATGTTTTCTGATGTTATTTTCTATATATATGTTCCAATAGTTTTTAAATTTGTTGTCCTTTTTAAAATACTGGCATAGTGCATCTTTTCTACTTAAAAATTCCGATCCGCTTTTCGAATACACTATGCCAGTTTTGCTGTTGAAAATTATATATAAAATCTTATTTCTGTTATCTTCGGACATTCCCAATTTTTGTAAATGAAGTTTAATGTTGTCTTTAATATGTTTTGTGCATAACAATATGGTATTACAAAGAAAATTTTCTTTCAATGAATTAAGTATAACCTTTTCCTGGTCACATCCCAATTTCCACTCCCCAGGTTCAAGGGCATCCCTAACGTGGGCAAAAAAATGATTGTATGTACCTTGTTCCCCGTCCCAATGTAAAAAAAAATGGCCCTAGCATAATTGATTCTTCGCCTGTTTTTCTATTTAAAACAGATCTGTTTGTGTAAGAAAATGCGGTAACAAAACATTGTCCCAAATTAAAAGTCCTGTCCACTCCAAGCACACTTCCATTTTCACCAAAACAGTTCTTTTTAATATCTACTAATTGTTCTTTCGAATATAAAATAATAGATGGTTGTCTGTGACCACTGAAGCATACCTCTTTAATATTGGTTGAGTCATGCTGCTTTGCTAATATAGCCAAGATATCGTCTGCTAAATTACAATTTATCGAAGGGTTCGATTTTTTTGATTCGCGGTATATTTTATCTTGAACTTGTCATGCAGATTTCGGTGCCTCTAAACTGTCATCCAAGCACATTTTATGTGCAACAACACTTGCCTTTTCAGATTTCGACTTGGAATATGCTTTTCTTAGTATTTCGGGATTAGTTCGAATGTATGGTACAGTATCTTTCGAACTGCCATGCGGAGGCTTGGGCGTGAAATTCGCTCCACTATATTCAACAATTGCCAAATTTAAAAAATCTTCCAATTCAATGGGTACACTAACGAGTTTTGTTATTCACTTTCTATATTCACAATTATGTTTTAGCTTTGCGTAATATCTGTGAAATGAAATTATATTCTCTCGTTGTGTTTTTAACTCAATATATGTCGGTTTATTTCTTACAACTTTTTTTGTGCAGTATATAAAGAGTTCTTTTTATAAATTGCAATTAAAGGTCTGTTGAGTTCATAAATAAAGTGTTGATTAACAGTTGTTCCTGTACGTGAATCCTAAATACCGCAGTCATCTGGAAACTCAAAAAGCAGTCATTTTTTTCTAGGCCAGGAATAAATTCAGATGGTGTACCAGTTTTGAAAGCTTTCATAATTTCATTGTTACACATGAATTTACTCTTTGTTAGGGCTGGCTTGAGCATAGGTGGACAAGATCCAGCATTCGAATACACTGACGAGTTTTCAAAAAATGGTGGGGGTGGTGAGTGTCTTCTGAGCCTTTTCTGTCTCGCAACATGGTGACGTCTCTTATCAGAAACGTTTTCGAATGAAGAGTAGTTCTGTGGGATGGGTGAATTGCATGCAAATTCATCGGCTGATAAACTGAAGTCATCAGAACTTGCCCCTGATGGTAGTGTCTGTGATTGTTTCCTGGGCCTTTTCTATATTCTCACAGGCCAATGCTTCAAAAGAGTTGTAGCAAGAAGTTGCCGAACAGCTAGAGGTACTGACGTGAAAAGGAGACAAGACTTTCTCTGGTTTTATCCATTCGTCAATGTCTTATCCATTCGTCAATGTCTGTCTCCAACGAGTTCCTGTTTGAACTAGAAGAATATTCCTCCAACAGGGATGAAGTTTTTCGCACATTTAGGAGGTTGTAACCATTCTTCTAGTTCAAAAGTGTTGTGCCTTTTCAAAGGGGTCGTAATGGCATCTGCACATGCCACAGATAAAAAATGGTTAACAGAATACCATTCATTTTTCTTCGGTAGACAACCAATCCTACACCACAATATATATTTAGTTCGTGAACATCTTCTTCTACCTGACAAGTTGGTTGAAAAGTGCAATTTAAATGCTTGTGCACAAAATCCCGAGGTCCATTATATTTTGGATAAATAATTTTAATTGGTCTGGATACCACGTTACATAAAGCGATAATTGTCCATGCAGAGGAAAAATGTCCTATATTGGCACAATCAAATATGGCAATTGAAAAGGTTGGTGACAGACTATGCAGTTTTGAAAATTCTATATGTTTCTTGTGGATCACACGAGCTATGTCCCTTGGTTACGATTTCCAAACTTGCTCGGAAATCGCATTTTGAGGGGCATTTTGACAATAAAAAGCTGTGATTTTAAATTAAAAATGACAATTCGGCATAAAGAACGGTATATTATCAAGTATCAATATAAATTATTGTGATATATATACTATTCAAAAAAAGTAGGGGATATTTGATTTTTATGTGTTATTAAAGTCACTTAATGAAACTGACGAAGAAACAAATGACAAAATGAAATGAAGTTCACATTCATCGATTTATTCCAAATGATCGTTAGACTAAGTAAGGCACAGACTGACCATTATAAGGGTAAAATGATACCCGGGGTCAAACAGCAAAGTTACCACAGCATCACAATCAAGTCAGTAACGGGTAAATCCTCCTCTGTTTGCCAAACAAGCATTGATCCGACGTGGCATACTCCTAATGAGACGTCTAAGGTCATTTTGGTCCAGATTGTCCCATTCCTGTTGCAACGCAGCAGCAAGTTCTTGGACATTGGCAGGACGTTGTTGACGTTGACGTAACCTCTGTCCAAGCATGTCCCAGACATGCTCGATGGGGGAGAGGTCGGGACTCAGTGCTGGCCAAGGTAATGTGGTGATGTTCTGTTGTTGGAGGTAACCTGTAACGATCCTGGCCCTGTGACATCTTGCGTTGTCATCCTGGAAGATGAAACGGCGGCCATGACGTCGTGCGAACGGCACAACATGGACTGCCAAGATGTTGTCCCGGTAGTACTGGCCTGTAACACGCCCTGCAACAACATGTAAAGCCGTTCTTCCAGCAACAGTGATGTCTCCCCACACCATAACAGAACCACCCCCAAATCGATCATGTCTGATGACGTTAACGTCTTGGAAGCGCTCGTTTCGACGACGCCACACCCTCCTACGTCTGTCCAAAAAATCAACAGTGAACCTTGACTCATCTGAAAACATCACATTGCTCCAGCGTCGATTATCCCAGTGTTGACGATCCCTACACCAACGACGTCTTGCCTGAATGTGATGATCTCTCAAACAAGGGATCACGCGAGGACGTCGGGCGCGAAGGTGACCCCTATGCAGTCGATTCCGAATCGTCTGGCCACTCACTCTCACACCAGTGTCTGTTTGAAGACGAGCGCTGATCTGATTTGCTGTGATGACACGATTTCTCAAGGCCAAGGTACGGATAAATCGATCCTGGGCTTGAGTTGTCGCCCTTGGTCGACCTGAGCGTGGTCTGTCCTGTACAGATTGTGTATCACGGTATCTGGACCATAGCCTGCTTATGACAGACTGAGAAACATTCATCGTCCGCACCACAACCGCCTGTGTTGTGCCGATCTGTAGCATGCCAAGGGCACGTAACCTTTCATTTTGGGTAAGCCGACGCATATCAAAATTTGTTTTCTGGTCACTAAAACAATTAAACTGATGTTTCCACCCTGGAATTCAATGCCACAATGAATGTAACATTAAAAGTCAGAGTCGTGCAAATCTTGGGTTGGACCCCCATGATGATCCCAAGCATCACCTGCATTCCATGCGGTAGCTATTGGTGCGTTTGGGCGTCACATGTAACTGGAAATGTTTCTTCTGTTAGGTTCTATAGTGACTTTTTTCGTAGTCATTTGCATATTTTAGTATTATGCCCCCAAAATCAAATATCCCCTACTTTTTTTGAATAGTATATAAATTATTGTGATATGAGTTGAAATAGTGGTGGATTTGGATAGATTTGAGTAGATTTGGGTAGACTTGGGTGGATTTAGCTAGATTTGGGTATATCGTGCTACCCTATGTGTACTGTTAATAAATATAAATGGAGTCACTTTATCATTTAAAGGACAATATTGGTGCCAGTCATTATCACATATGTGATAGAACTGGTTAAACACGTTTCAAATCATATTTTATCACAGAGATCATTGCTACGATAGCTGAGTAATCAATGCTTTAACAAACGGAAGTGACGAACGCAAAAGGAAAACACGAGTTATCCCTCTATATAACTGACTGAAGTCACGGGTGATAACAGATACATGGGTGAATTTCTGCTCAGTAATAATTCCTTCGAAGACCAACAGTTGTATAAGACTGAAAGGATATCTGACAATTCATAAACAAAATTGACTGTCACTAGATAAGAGAACATGAAAGAAAAATAGAAAAAGTCTGTGCATTACCATGTTATTATAAGTATAGAATGAATAAACACCTGTGTTCTCTTATCTAATGACATCAACTACTTTTTTGAATTGTCAGATATACTCCTACAGTCTCATATAACAACTTTTGGTCTTCGAAGGAATTTTTAGTGAGCAGAAATTCACCCATGTATCTGTTATTACCCATCACTTCAGTCAGTTATATAGAGGGATAACTCTTGTTTTCCTTTTGCGTTCGTCACTTCCGATTGTTGAAACATTGATTACTCATCTATCGTAGCAATGATCTCTGTGATAAAATAGTATTTGGAACGTGTTTAACCAGTTCTATCACATATGTGATAATGACTGGCACCAATATTGTCCTTTAATGTAAATGACTATTTACATACACAAACCAGCCATGCAGACAACCCCTGAAAAATGCAAAGTTTCTAAGTCACATAATCTTAAGTAAATGTTAGATAATCAATTTGTGTACATTTTAGTGTGGATTACGCCACTAATAATTAGATATTGTCCAAAAAATGTAAATGACATACAGTGGATTGTGCTTTAAAATAAATTCTTTAACTGAAAAAGAAAACTTACGAGGTAGTGGTGGTGAAGTCAGTATAAATGGATGGTATGGGAGTATTAGCTTCAACTTCAGGCAAAATATCCGAGTTATCTCCCCCTCCATACTCTTCAACACGTGAAGACATTTCTATCCTGAATACCTTCCATTGTAAACAAACAAACAACAACTGGAAGAAATCAGCTGAAAACAAAATGAAATTTGAAAGTTTTATTTGAAGCGATAAAATTATTTGATTTATCTAAGTAATCAACAAATAAACCTTCTTGTGATTAAATATTGTAAATAATTTAAAGACTATCTGTAAAAGTCACATTATAAGGGAGCAATATCAATCTATCCTTTATTTTCTTAACAGAATAATAAGACCAGTTCTCGTCTGATACAAGTTGGTCTTAATAGTGAATTTATAATGAGTTGGAATCTCAAGGATCCAGATTTGTTAATTCTTTTAAAATAAGGTTGTATATGTGAATGGCACATAATGCTGAAGTGGATATTGAGCAGGATTTCACTGTCAGTAAAAGCAAATGGATTTTTTTACATCAGAAAGGTCATTCCAGTGAAGTACTTTATACTGTTCATATTAAACTGCGGTTGTTGGATGACTGATGGACAAAAAGTAGTGACAAGAACAATATCAGAATAAACACAATAGGTCTATGGAAAGACATTTTAATTGGAGAGAGAAATGGGGTTAAACGTCCACTCGACACAAACTAGGTCATTTTTGGACTAACATATGGTTTAATTTTATTTCAATAATTCACTTGCACGTAGGGGTCTTTAGCAGTGGGAGGAAACCGGAGGACCCCTAGAAAACCCACGAGGTTGGACAGGCGACCCTACTCCTTGTCACGTACAACCGGAGATTCAAAACCACGCCAGTTGACTCAATGACAGGCTTTATGATACAGCGCGCACGTGCTAACCATTCAGTCATCTAACCCCCCCCCCCCATTTTAATTGGGCCAATGTTTATACAATGCAAGAGTCAAAAAGAACAAAATGTAATACTATGTACAATCAAAACAATAATAACTCTTACTTACCTAACAGTTTAAATGGATGGGGTGAATTTGCATAATCAGGTAAAAATAACCACTGTTCTAGATTTTGATCCAACAGAGTTTCATGTTTCCATGGATACTCTACAAAATACAAATATTAAAATCAAATTGCAAAACTCTATCTACATAGAAAATAATGTATGTTACTTGTACTTGTATCACATCTTACTTTCATGACGGTCAATTTCAATGTTTGCAAAGATATAATTGACAATCACATTAAAAAACAAAACAACAATACAGGTTCATACTCATAATAACTTAAGAGTTAGTTGGTGAATTGCTTTACAAAATTATAATTTGAGAAAACTTGAATAATTTAAATAAATACGAACCTAAACAAAGACCAAGCGGGAATCCTATGCATGAAAGATACTGTATAGGAAGCAAGACAGCTAGAATTATTGTATATATCGGCCATACTCTAGCGTTACTACGACGACTCATTAATAACAAGATTCCTAGGAAAATAGCATAGAGTACAGCATAGGCATCTACACGAATACACACACATGTTGCTGTCGTAATATAACAAATCTGAAATATAAAAAAGTACAAACAATCCAACATTGAGGCTGGTGTCCACCAACTTAAATAGATGACACTCATTAATTACTTGCACATATTTATCTTTTTATAGAGCACTGACCACATACACCTCTCTTTACCTGAGCAGAAAATGTTCATTATCAAACTTACTCGAGGTATTGATACATCAAGTTTCATCACTCAAAGATATTGTGTTCCAAAGTATGAACAAATCAAATTGCTTATCTCTGCTTGTCTTAGCAGTTATTCATGGAACACAGACAAGACATCCACTTAATGAACATCTACACCAAGTTTGAAAAGTTTACCTCAATTAAACGAAGAGTTATTGTGTTCCAAAATGATGCGTGAGACAGATGGACAGACCTGTTTTAATAGCCACATGGTTAAGGTGGGGGATAAAATGTATTTCAGAAATTGAAGCTTCTAATTTGAAACTTTCTTTAATTTTTTTTTACAATCAGCCATGTGTAATTAACATAAATAGAAATTTATGGATTAATTAGTTTCTACAGTTTCCATAAGAGGTCAATCATCGGTCATAAAAAATACCACATTGGCATCTTTCTTCAAGCTACATACTACTAATCAAATAGGATAAAACAGACCTATATTTCGGGTCGCTTTTTTTTTAATACTTTTGGTGACATCCACTACATGTAGATCTGACCAGTTGTAGTGGGGGTTTGTGTCAGGGGTCATTATATAAGGCTTTTGACCCCTATGACATCAGTCATTCGATTAACCAATTAACACCAGTGTTTGAAGTAGGTATTCTTAAAAACAACTCTTGTCTTGATCTTTTTCTGTGAATGTCTAACCACAGTTCCGCATGCTAGACGAAATGAACTCGACTGATCTGATCAATTGATTGGCTAATCCCTCACATCAACCAGAACACACGTTATTTAACAATTAACAGTGTGGTGAAGACAAGTAAAACGAAATTTTAAACTACAAAACAAAATGGGATCGGTATATTAATCAGATTGCTAAAGCACACAATGATTGTCATCCTCACAAATGAATTAAGACTAAGCAAATACTAATATTTACCTCAAGTCCGTACTTGTAGAAGAAATAATTAGCAAAGTACATCAGACAATATTTAATTCCCTTGTCAGCATTTTCACGTTTTATTTCTGGGAAGATCACTCCTGTTGGTGGTTTAAATATCTGTGATTGACGATATTTCTGTAGTTGATGATATCTTACAATACTTTGAAAAGCTATAATCAACAATATCACCAAATAATTCTGAAAAAAAGAAAAGGTTATTACAATTAACAATTTTGAAATAATACAAGACTACAAAGCTGGTGGCATGAAGTCAATAGAAAATAATGACTAATAGTCTAGAGTACTCTGGTTTTAAATAATGTCTATTTATACTTACCCTCAGATAATACGATATGATAACATCTAATTTTGATATTTTCATGAGACCAACCCATACACCGTTATCAACTTCAGTTCCGTTTTCCCACAGAGAATGATTACCAACATCTAGAGGTTGCTGAAAAATAACAATCATCATTGAGTTTATTGTCTCTATAAATACTGAATGATCTGAATAAATGTGGGGTTTTCTGGGAAGCCATCATATACCATGTTTTATTTTTGAAAATATTTATCAAATCTGATTTCTAACTTAAAGTATAAATCCCAGATATATTTCAGTTAATAAAACCGGGTCATGCTGTGTGAGTCTCTTCTCCCAAGCAACTATCTGAACCTTTGTGATATCATTTTCAAAGAAATATGAACCACCTGTTGTCAGGTAACACTGGAGATGAGCCTTTTGACGAAACAACCAACTACCTTGTGCGAGGATGTGTGCACAGTGATAACTTCCTTTTTGTGTTTTTCAGCTAGTAATAGAAATTTGCAAGTTATTGATTCAGTTCAATAACCTCTTAGCAGAGTTTACAAATGGTATTGGATAGCCGCCATCAGGTCACTCAATTATAAAAACTAAACTGGAGACAGGCTTTTTAAAGACTTACACAATACCTATAAACTGTTCGAAGAGCCTAATATTTTGAGTCAAAATTTCAAGACAAGGTAAACAGGCCATTTTTTCACATTTCTTCAGATTTACATACACAAGCAATTAATATATCTGGAGATCTAGATTATAATTAAACATAAATCAGTATTTAACAATGATATGAAATTAATATCCTTCAAAATTCTAATTGCTTACATGTACATATTGTTCTTGAATGAAAAAAATAGATATATGAACATGAATTCAAGTCATTTTTAGACTTTGGTCACAGCAGCAACTAAATACCGATGAATCTCTTCTCTGCACAGTTTTCCATGTCTTCCCATGTTCCAATTGTCAAAATAAAAGTCAAAATTCAAATAATTAATATACTTACTGAACAGTTAGTTATCCAATAGTCTGTTTTAACCAATCGTAATTGATATAACATCTTGGCAAGCAGAACAAGTGCCGTCCAGAACTGTATGACATGTGACAATACCACATGACATGTTGACAGTGGTAAAAATATTGCCATTAAAATCACGTAAATGGCACTCACAGCAGACACCTTCAAATAAACATCAAATATATTTTTTTTAAAAATATTTTGGGTTATTCTAATGATTTAAACCCCAGTGAAAATACAATAGTTTTTAAATAATTGAACTGATCAGTGTACTAGAGATCAGGAACTCTGAATGACATCTTTGCCGCCATCTTGGAATTGTGATGTCATATCAAAAATCAAAGTCTGTCAATTGATCCTCGGGAACCAACATGCCAAGTTTCAGGCTAAATGTAGATGAATTGTGAAGCCTTAGTCTATTGTTCAAAGACTGTCACACCCCAAGAACAACAATATGAGTAGCCATTGGGTCATCAGTTCCTGCTCCAAAAATCAAAATAATTATGAATTGGTTTCGATTATTTTAATTAGACATCATTACATTTGTAACTGACAATCAATGTTTTTACCTCACTTGCAGCAACAACCATGATGGTAAAAACAACTAATTTAAAGTAATGGACCTCAGCCACCCGCCATAATAATGATGAAGTTTTCGCCCAGGTTTCACTGCCAAATGCCCAGATTGTTCTAAGCCAGTACATTACTCTCTGTTTCCATCCTAATAAAAACAATAGACACCACATTAATAAAATTTGTATTGATTACATTTCAACTAGTAATAGTAGTAATCAAACCAGCAAATAAAAACACACAATAAAATAGGGATTATTATTATTCACTTGCAAGTGGCAGAAAACCAGAAATAAATAATAAAAAACCCCAACAAGAACCAGCGGCTGCCAGGCAGGATACGCCCACATTTTCGAGAGATGGATAGAGAACAAGCTAAAAAGAAAGTGATTTTTTCTACAATCAAGGGACATAATTTTGGAAATTACAATTTGATATGCGCAAATATCGAAAGGAACCAAGATCTTTGTGTTATAAACTTACATTTCAAGTTTCAACAAAATAGGATAAAACTTGTGACCTCTATAGGGTCCACAACCTTGATATACCATATTTTTATGCTATTTGAGAACGAACAGCGGCCATTTTGTCTGTCAATTTTGGGCCGATTTTCACAAAATCGAACTCCGCCATCCTTAGGGTGTAAAGGTGATATAATAATACGACTTTTTAAATCGGATAAAAATTATGACCTCTATAGGGTCCACAAGCTAAAAACGCGATTTTTCGTACAATCAGGGGCCATAATTCAGGAAGTTACGGTCCGATATGCGCGAACATCGAAAGGAACCAAGATCTTTGGTTTATAAACTTACATTTCAAGTTTCAACAAAATCATATAAAAATTGTGACCTCTGTAGGGTCCACAACCTTGATATACCATATTTTTACGCTATTTGAGAACGAACGGCGGCCATTTTGTCTGTCAATTTTGGGCAGATTTTCACAAAATTCGAACTCAGCCATCCTTAGGGAGTAATTGTGATATAATAATACGTTTTTTTAAATCAGATAAAAATTATGACCTCTATAGGGTCCACAAGCTAAAAACGCGATTTTTCGTACAATCAGGGGCCATAATTCGGGAAGTTACGGTCCGATATGCGCGAATATTGAAAGGAACCAAGATCTTTAGGTTATAAACATGCATTTCAAGTTTCATCAAAATCGAATTAAAATTGTGACCCATACAGGGTCCACAACCTTGATTTACCATATTTTTACACTATTCGCGTACAAACGGCGGCCATTTTTGTCTGGCAATTTTGGTCCGATTTTCACGAAATTCGAAATCAACCTTCCTTAGGGTGTAACGGTGATATAATAATATGTTTTTTTAAATCAGATAAAAATTATGACCTCTATAGGGTCCACAAGCTAAAAACGCGATTTTTCGTACATTCAGGGGCCATAATTCAGAAAGTTACGGTCCAATATGCACGAATATCGAAAGGAACTGAGATCTTTGGGTTATAAACTTACATGTCAAGTTTCAACAAAATCGTTTCGAAATTGTGACCTCTATAGGGTCCACAAGCTAAAAACGTGATGTTTCGTACAATCAGGGGCCATAATCCATGAAGTTTCGATCCGATACATGCCAATATTGAAAGCAGCCGAGATCTTTTGGGGATAAACCATATATTTAAAGTTTCGTCAAAATCGGATAAGAATTGTGACCTGTAGAGTGTCCACAAACAAATTGTGGACGTCCGGAGGGACAGGGGTGAAGGCATAATACGTCCACAGGAAAATGTGGGCATATAAAAAGAAAACAATGTCTCTACCACAAGTGGGCTTGATTTGCTCTTGTCAGATGTGCAGGATGGAGGGTCTGGCAGGGAACGGTGTCTGGTAGTTCGGATGGGATTTAAAAATGTACACCTTGGCATGCACGTAAAACAACCCTTGACTACTGGAATTCAATGGCTGTCTGAGAAAAATGTTCCTTATATAGCAAATGGCATGGCATATGCTTGTCTTCATTAGCCTGATTGAAGCAGAAAAGCAGGATGTTTTAACCCCCATTTCATTCATTCACATCTCTCCTATCAACAGTAATTTTAAGAGCTTGAATTTGCAGTTTGGCATTAAAGGAGCAAAAATAGGGATAGTGGTAAGCTAATTCATGCTTATTACATTCAGTTTATGACTACTTACGTTTATTGCGTCTTTGGGTAACGCTTTCTGTATCGGTAGTGGTTCCCCCCGTTTCATCAGTTGTATAATCAGTAACATTAGGATTAGGGTCGGGTACGATCTCATCTGTCCTGATACAAAAAAAATATTTCTATATAAATTGCTAAGTACTACTAAATCCAATTTCCATAAAGCCACTGATTTGCATTTTTCAAACATTATATTAGTTTTAATGGCTTGTTTATATTATCTCTAAAGGGTACTGTATGTTGTGAAATTCTCAATTCGTCAAATCTTTGTAAATATTGAACATGACCATTTTTTTTTTTTTACAGATATATTCCTTTTAACGATTCAACTTTCACAAGATTGTAGTCAACTTGGGATTCAAAAAGATGATCATGGGATTTAAATATCTATATATAAATAATATCTTACTTATATCTATTAAGAGAACTGTAAGCGAGGAAAGGTTTATGGAAATAGTGTATCTGTAGTATAACTATAATCACAAAAGCTGTTGGTGTTAACAACTTTAAAAATAAACCAGCTGTATCATATCTTTCTAATCCAATATCACTCAATCTACAAATAAACATATATAAATATCATTTAATCTATAAATAATCTAACACATGTAAATATCAACAAAGGAAAGTGTTTTAAGTTATTCTTTAAAACTTGAACTGATCTATGGCACAATGTGAGGATCAACAAAGTATACACAAATTATAACACTACATAATTCAATATCAACATAAAATAGCCTATAGTGTGACTAGCGATTGAGAAAGTATGATTCTTAAAAGATTATGATTTTAATGCCTACCTCTAAGAAGCTTTAAAAAAATCATACTTTTTTTAATCCTACATGTAGCTAAGAAGATTTAATTCTTAAACTAATTTCCCAATTACAAATGCTTTCATTGAAATGTTTTTTCTGTCTCTTCATAGACAATATTCAAACATTTCATGTAATCATTATTAAGGGGTTCACAGGTTATTATAACAAATGTTTTGGTTTTATGTGCAGGAACTGTAATTATTCCTTTTAGCACATTTCCAACAATTCTTACATAATTTACAAGACAGGAAAATGCTGTTTAACGTCCACAATATTTATAACTTACGTAGCATTACTAAAACCTGTTCCATCTCTCCAATATCCTGGGAATTCATCAAACTGATATGTATAAATCATTATCAATACAGCCATAGAATACACTATTACTACCCACCAAAACACAAACATCGTGGCTCGCCAGATCACATATGAAAACTGAAATGTAAAGAATTATTATAAACTTGATGAATGACTATAATAAATATCTATAAATGTATAAACAATAATATCTATTAAGAGAACTGTAAGCAATGTAAATGTAAACGTATTAAAGAGAGTACTTTTTTAAAATCATTAATTACAGTGTTTTTGACGAATTATTCTTTTGTTTGACCCAATATACCCAAAAAGTGACGTTTTATTTAATACTCTAAGGATATCAATATTGCTAATAAACTGATTCTTAGAACTATAGTTTGGAACCCCTAATGTTCAGAAATTTTGCCTGAATATCTGTGACTGCCTTGCCCAAAGTTTTGGTTGCACATAAGAAATGAAATGGGGTTTAACGTCCTACTGTTCTGCTCCGACAGGACTAATGAAAACAGGCTTACGTCATAGAGTGTGATATGAGACAAATCTTGATCAGACAGTGATGCTACGTCCTACTCTTAAATCAAATTCCAAATGTCAAGGAATGTTTTACGTGCACGCTGTGTACACTGGACCTCAGCTTTTCGTCCTACATGTATCTGAATGACTATACGTTATCCCTTGCCAGACCCTCTGTTCTGCACCACTGACAAGGGGGAACCATGCCACAAAATCCCAATTAACTTTCTTGACAAATGCAGAGATTTCAATAATTCGCTTGGCTATCCAACCACTACTTGTATGTGAAGTATAATAAAGTATACCTGGAATGCGAGTATAAAATAGAGGAAAAGGAACATGTAGATGATTCTATAGACTACGACGTCCTGTATGGATATCAGTAACAACATGGCAGCACATACAAATATCCAATATTTGCACAGTAATAACCAAACATAACCACCTGTAAAATATAACATATATATATTATAAGACTATACACGAAATATTGCAACAACTAAACCTGAAAACAATATCGTTATATGGTAATCTCATTCACTGTTTTCCAGAATTGACTGCGGCACCATATGTCACCATTAAAAGACATAAGTTTCAAAATAATGAGCAACTCTTAGACTATTCAGACAACAAAATATATAAAGGGTCATCAATTCTCGTAACTATCAAACCAAATAAAACAATAAAATAATCCTATTATCTAAAATTTTCTATGGCCATAATTACTGATTTCTGTAACAATTTTACAGGGATATCTCAAAAACATTTTTATCATGTTTTGGAATTTAAAAAAAAAACAAAGAAAAAAGTTCAACATTTCACAAATCATAATCCCAATCACTAAAACAAACATCTCCATTCCAAGAATCATCAAATTTTAGGAATAGTAATCATACCAGTAGTTATATGTAATAACATACACATTGCTGCAAATTTATAAGAATTTTAGAAACATCTCCATTCTAAGAATCATCAAATTTTAGAAATAGGGATCATACCGGTAGTTAGAAGTAATAACATACACATCGCTACAAATTTATAAGAATTTTAGAAACATCTCCATTCCAAGAATCGTCAAATTTTAGAAAGGTGATCATACCGGTAGTTAGAAGTAATAACATACACATTGCTGCAAATTTATAAGAATTGTAGAAAAAAGTGATCGCTGCCAATTTACAAGAGTTTTATGCATGTTATATCAATTAAACTGCAATATACATGAATGTGTGTATGTTGGTAAGGGGGTAAGGGGTGAAGGGGGGGGGCATATTTTGATTTTTACTAGACAGCGGTATTTCCAACTTCTATTTTTCTAATTACAATTGCCAAGGTTCCTTTCATGTGCATGGATCTCAGTTTATAATCTCATTTGCAGGACTAGATCCAATTTCCTTGTCAGCCCCGTAGACTCCACCCTTGCGGGCCTTGATAAATAAAAACCGACTTAAAAAATCACGAATTCTTTGCTCAGCCAATGCCAGGATTCCCAACAAACTGATCAGTTAAATACTCTATCGAATCTAAATAATTCTGAATTTAATCATAAAGTCAATTGAAAGTCACATAGGATTAAAAGATGAACTCTTTTTTTATCCAATACTCATGCTTAAACAAAATATACCACAGTGAATTATAATCCAAATAAAAGTCCAGAAAGTGATAACTTGTCATCAATCAAATTAAAACACAGAACAGTAACAATAACATTGAAGGTGGACAAATTGGAATTAAAATAAATAGGGTAAATCATTGCCTTAACAAATCACATGAGAGTTGAAACCTTGAAGCCTGAAAATATTTCTCCATGCTAAAAATGATACTGAAATAAATGTTTCATTCAAATAATTCATATATATTAAAAAAAATAGTAAATAACAATTTAAATAAATATTACTAGAAACTCCTATGGTCAATATATTTTACAACAGTCATATATAAGTTATAGCAAACTACATTACATACAACATCGATACAAAGATCAAATAAAAAAGATAAAAGAAAGTATGAATGTGAACACAACAAAACATTCTTGTACACAGTTAAGCAAGAAATAAATGGAGCTTAAAAAATCGAAGCTAATCTGTAAATATTTAAAATTTGGGGCCTTCAAACTTAAAATCAATCGTCAGTAACAGGCTGGGAAAAATCCCCGTAATTTTTCCCATAGACGAGTACACCTATTGATTGTCTGGTTTCAAATCTAATATTTCATATTTCATGTGAAAATCAATCTGAATAAAATACAGATCTATATTTCGTTTCGTTTTTTTATACTTTCGATGGTCTACACTACATGAAGATCTGACAAGTTGTACTCGAAGGTCGTGTCAGGAGTCGTATGAGCGGCTTTTGACCCTATGACGCCAGACATTCATTAATCAATCAGCGTTTCTAGTGGTTTACCCACAGTTCCGTGCATGGCACGCCAACAAGTTGCCGTAACAGACCATTTCATTGGCTTATCCCTCACTTCAACCAAAACGCCGGTAATATAACAACTCTTCCAGATCCTAGTGTAGTAAAGACAAGTAAAATTAAATTTTGAACTATAAAAAACAAAACGAAATGGGATATATGTTTTAATCAGATTGTGTGAAATAAAAATCCAGATTAATCAATATAGACCAGGACAAGCTAAAATTTTTCATTCTGCTTAAAATCTAGTTTTTTAAGTTACACTTGTATCGATGGGATTTTAAGTATTCCTGAAGGCAACTGTGATGAAATAGCAAAAGTGCAGGATAAAATTAACGTAGCCTGGGTAAATCAGTATTTATAAAATGCAAACATTGATTTCTTTGCTTACAGTATTTATTATATAGAGAAATATATCAGGAAAAGATATTTTAACATTTTAATTTTACAAAAACACCAAATTGAAACAATGACAAGACAAATGAAGCCAGATAAATTATTTGCTTGAAAATATAGTAGCCACTAAACTAGATGAACTATTTGAATAAAATTAAACATTTATTTTAATGGTTGAATTAATGAATTAGTTGACAATTTATGAAAATGTCACTGATTTGAATTTAATGAACTAGTTGACAATCCTTTATGGAGATGCCAGCGAATTAGTTTTTTTATGAAAATTAAAAGTAAAATTCCCTTCCTAATAATGGTGAAATGCCTACCCATCATTTTCATGGTATTACTGTCGTATCCATCTACAGAATCTGTGATGATAGGTCCACCAGCTGTCAAGGGTAGAATACATAAACATGCTCAGATATTATAATAGAAAATACAAGAGAAATGGATGATATAGTTTCATGCTAAGCAAAAATCTGAATAGACTCCCATACATGTAGTTACTATGTAAAACTAGAGACTGTCGAGGATTTGTTGTCTTAACTGAATGTACATGTAAGTTACAATAAGATTCTTTTATTAAGGCCATATAACACAAATATTCTGGTTATTAGATACTGCTGCATCACTTAAAAACGGCAAGATGACGCTGTGAGACTGATATCGTTCACTTATGAATCAAAGTCTTCAAACAATAAAATTTTGCCATTAGATTATAAAAGATTAAAGTAGACTCAAGTACAGAACAATGATAAATGTTACTGAAAATCATAAATGGCAGTGGACAATCGTAAATTGAATCCATGTTATCGAGAAATGGCAACTATTGATTTATGTGTTTAATTTTAGAAGATATTTTTGAGTCTATTATTTCATGGATGTTAATTATCCAGCAAACTACATTTAGTACTGAGAAATGAAATGATTGCAATCATACTCCAGTTGTAAAATTTGTGCTTTCCTCTGATAAAAAATAAAATCACAGAAATAAAAACCTCCCTCCCACATCAGATTTTTTGGGAAAGTTTTATCCGAGAACCAGAATATTTTTCTTGTGTAGGACCTAATATTATTTCAGTTTTCCTCCTTATTTCTAGTTTTCCATTGAACTCAAAATTAACAATTCAGATTTGTCCAAAAGCTAAAGCACCATCAGTTGTCATTTCTTTTTGTATTAGATTTATTTTCATTCTACCAAACTGCAACTTGTGCGTGATCAGCAGTGCATTTAATCACAAAATATAAGATAGTGCGTAGTTAGATGGGTGTTTTCAGCTTTTGAGGACTATTTTGTCCTGCATTCATTACAACAAATATATTGACCTATACACTATTTTACTCCTGTAAATTTTTCCCACATATATAGTACATTGAAATGCACATATGGAGATTAAAATTGCAAAAAAAATGTACACATTCTAAATGAATGATACATGAAACAATTTCTCCACTAATGCGCTGTGAAGCTTCATTAAGCAAAGCAAATGAATCAAAGCTTAGTGCTGGCTGGCTACCTATAAAACAAAGCGGGAAAATATTATTATGCTAACACAGCAATATGCTGTCTGTTAATAAGATCTTTAAAAATAATTATATTAATTCCATTTGTTTGAAATATTTACTTCTTTTCTTGTATTGTCGAATTAGAACCTAGTTAACCTTTGTGGTGAAAACACTTTAATTCTTTGCATTTTTAAAGAAAAAAGAACAATTATTCTTTTTGGTTTTTCCTTTCCTCATTTTACTTTCTGTTCACTTTTTCAAATTTAAAATCAAAACCAAATAAAAAATCTCATTTGAAACAGACTGCCAATAATTTTATAATCTAACATATAATTGAGTAACATTTATCATATAATGAATTTAAATATTCTATTCTAACATTTATAACACATTATCAACCACAATATAACAAATATGACATTGGCATGGCCTGTAGATTAAGCTTTTAACTACAATCATGAAAAGTTTGGGGTTTTATTTCTGAATTTTCTGAATACAAATGACAATAATTAAAAGCCTAAAATCAGCACCTCTGAAACACATAAAATTCACTGATACAACTTTAAGAATAGTTATATTTTATTATGTTGATACGTACAGATTATCTCGGATATGGTACTAGTTTGGCGTTGGACATGTCGTAGTGGGAATCCCTTAATTTCTTGACTAGCTGCCTGTCTCTCTCTCATAAATTGTCTCATGGTTAACCAAAAGAACAGAGTGAAGAAAACCTGAAATACGTTTAAAACATGTTTAAATTTTCTATTAAAAATATCAGTCCTTTTAAATATTTGTATAAAAATGTGTCATTTAATGTGAGCTCTTTGATTAGCAATATTGTGTTTCCCTAAAAAAAAATATCTGTATTTTGAAAACAAATCAGTAAAGTGTCTGGAATTAAAAGGTTTCTTGATGTGCTTATACTATAGACAGATATATAGCCATCTATCAATTATGTTTCTTATCAATTTCTGCAGACCTTGAGTGTCCACCCCTCCATGATGTCACAACAGCCATCTTGAAATTCTGATATCATATCAAATATCAAAATCTGCCAAGTGATGTGAAATTGTCCAAGGAACAGGCATGCTAAGTTTAATGTGGATCATACAAGAATTGATGAAGCCATAGACTCTTTTTTGAGGAGAGTCGAGTTGGGGACAGTTTCTGGTCCAAAAATTGTACCTTTTCTATAAATCTACGAATATATAAAGATATTCTGGTTCTCAGATACCGCCGCATCATCAAAAATGGGCTGAGTCACCTGTTTTTAGTTAATAATTTCCACATGTTTATATTTCCCACAATCAAGGGAGTACATCTATTAAACGTTTCTTCAAAAGAGCAACTGAACATGACTCGGCTATCATGAACGAAACCATGAAACACACTACTGACAATCACGAACGGCAATGGATAATCGATTGTTAAGTTGTTATTCTTTAAAAGAGGAACTGAACATTTGGGAAGGATTGTCTGAGAACCAGAATATTTTTTTGGTGTGCCCTTAGTTGCTTTAAGTAAAAAGTATTTAATGTGTGGAATTCAATGTACAACACCCTGACAACGTTTTCTAAACTTAAACAGCTGATTCTTTGTCTTCTTATATTATGGATACAAATTAACATCAAAAAAATTTTATATTCACCTAAGATACCCCTTTGCAATATGCTCTTATTTTTGGAAGGAATGACATGTATTAGTTTGGCTTTTACAAATACTTAGTAATTATAGGGCTTGGACTGGAGTCTATGTTAAACAAGAAAGATAACTTTAATTTGAATATCATAAATACCTGTAGGGCTAATTCATAACATGTCAATCTCATCAATCCAATCTCACGGAATTTCAAATCTCCTGTCTTGCTAGGTAGTTCATCTTCTTTAAGATTCATACTGAATATAAACTGTGCGATCAACAGACAGATAGCGTAGAAGGTTATTAATGGTGAAATGATCAGACAGGCTTTTCTAGAATTGGGTACCATCCATAAAATACACGCTCCCAGTAACAACACAAACGTTAGCCAACTGTGAAAAGTAATACTCCATGCCTGAAAATAGAGGATTACCGCATGCAATTAGTAATATAAATACTGTATGTATAAAGTACAAGGAGTACAGACCTGTGCCCACCAAGATATACTTTTCACTGATATCCCAGTTCAGACAAAACATGCAGTGCACACAATGTCAATTTTGCGTCAAAATCATTTCACTGGCAAATATATGTTGTGCACAAGAATTACTATCACTGTCAAGGTTACGGCTATATATATTGGCATCCATAGGTTCGAACAAACAATTATAGCTTTCAAAATGTGCTTTTTAGAAATACAGTAATTCACCGCAGTGATGATTTGTCTAAGACAAATTGTCTTTCAGTACTGTACATAAAGCAGACAAAATGTTGACAACAATGTCAGACTATATAATAATATTCATCATTGTGTACAGGCCTTAATCAAAGACAGGGAATATCTGATAAATGGAAAATTTGTCAAGGGGTTAATCTCTGGGTAGCAACTTCATGACCACACTGTTGTGGTTGGGTTGAGTGGTAGTTATACACTCAGTACACTGTATTAATTTTGGAATTTTGAATATTATTCACCATGTCTTGATGTCTGATTGGGTATATTGCTGGTCGAACAATTTAGGACGTTTGGAAAACAGCGTCGAACATGTCCGGAAAATATACGGGCGAAATCCCATCAATGGATTGCAATAAGCTGTATCTCATTCATAGTAATTATTTTAAAGGGATGCTTTTAAAAGAGGAATAAGTGTTGATAGCTTTATGGTTTGTGTACGACGTTTAAAAATAACATAATAAAATTACACACTCAATATTTCAGATTGTATTTACAAAATGTCCCCTTACTTCCCTCATTTGCCTTCAACGAAAACAAAAATTACCAGTGTTTAAGTTTACCCAACCGACCTTATGGGGTTTTTTTTAAAACTAAAATCGACAACGATAAACTTTTTTCACTTGTTTCCTCAGGTCCTATAAATCGGTTTTGGCATGGTTTTCTGCAGACACTGAAATTTCAGAATTATAACAGCCCGAATCAGCATTATTTTACAGAACCTTAATCAGTATTTAAAATAACATCACAAAGGCTATAGACTGCAAGTATTTATGTCATTTATCAAAAGAATAGCAGTTGAACCAGCGTAGAACGGGTATAGCCATAAAACGAAAGTAGCATAACTCTGAAACCGGAAGTGGAAGTCCAACGCCACCAAGCCTATGTTACATCCTGGTCCGAGCTATCCCTAAACACCAAATGTCAGCCTTAGGACAGCCCTAGTGTATCCATGAACCCTGAACAGACAAATAAATGACGGTCACAAATATTACTTTTGATTAATTTATCAATTCACTTAGTTCTATCCAATCTGAACCGCAAAAAAAAAGAAAGAGATTTTCCGACTGCCCCTATTATTTGTGGCAAAATAACAGTAAACACAGGTAACTTTTATTTGGTCTTATTACAATGTGATTAAATCAATCGGTATCACTTACCATCATAGCAATCAACAAGAGGACATAACTATGTTTCATTATATAAACAAAGAGAGTAACAAGAGGTGATCGTTTCTGAGTTTTGTCACGTTTTTTACTACTGTCATGAACATCTTCTTCATCTGTTTCATTACCATGGTCAGCACCACGTGATGTTGTTGGCTGTTCATCTTTATTTGTTGCTTCAATCGTGTTATAATTAGAATTTTCCCCATCGTCAACCAGATGCTGGAAATAATTAAATACATACATCAAATATCTAGCCTAAATTGGTAATCCTCTATCCTAGATTTGGCAAGACTAGATTTGGACATAAGTCAAATTAGCCATGACAATTTAGAATAGAAGTACAGTTCTAAGCTATTCAACTTACTTGTATTGATAATAAAGCACGCCCTTAAAAAAAAAACCTTAAATGCACAAATACTATCTTTTGCAGAAATTGTGAAAAGACTAATTATTGCAAACATTTGGCAGGAGATGCCATGTTAGACATATCTACCTTTGATCCTAAAGCAGTTTACAGCCTAACCAGTTCAACAAGCCAACAGTGAGGTTGATGTCCCTTGCCTCAATCCCAATATAGATGACACTCATTAATTATTTGTACATTTATCCTTTTATAAAGTAAAGTAGGCCTATTGAGATTGCTTATCACTCTACTCATTAGCAAACTTCAAGGCATTGATACAATGAAATCATACACATCACTCTCAAATTAGAATCAGAGTTATTGTGTTCCAAAGTATCCAAAAATAAATTTGCTTATCCCTATTTACCTTCAGAAGAAAATCTTTATCTTTTAACTCAGTCAAGGTAATGATGTAATTATACACTAAGTTTCGTCACTGTCACCTCAATTAGAAGCAATAGGACAGACAAACAGAAGGTTGTCAAACCCACTTTAATAGTCCCAAGCTTTCTGTGAAAGACTCAGGACAAAAAACTTTATGCAAATGACGTATACAGTCTTAACCCTTTAGCACTTAGCATATGTAAATATTGAATCCCATTGTCACTAAATTAATTAGAGAACATTTATGTTTTTTTAACACTGGGGTTTTTTTTTTTTTCGAAAGCACCTAAAACTACTGCTTCCTAGACCATATAAAAAAAATCAGAGTCCCACAACTAGTATACGGTCCTCAAATAGTTTACGGCTTTTCACTTGACTTTGGCGGCTTGATGCACTAGAGGGAGCAGCATTTTCAGGCAATTTTGAGTGGCCCAAATGGTAAAGGGTTCTGAGATTAAATCCATATGCATATACTACGGTTTCTTAAAACATATTTTAAACTTAATTGTAATAGCACTACTGGTATGTATATCACATACGTGTAAAGGTTATAGAAGCGAAAAGGAAAAATATCATTTATGGATACTGCTACTGTTCATTTCCTACTGTATGTATCTCAAGCTGTGGCTAATTTTTTTCAAAGAATAAATATTAAAAATCAAATTATCACAGAAAACTATTAAACAAGCTTACAAAAGAAAATATATCCTAGCATTATCAGTCTTAATTTACATGGTTATATGCATGAAAAATTGATAAGCAAATGGTTCTTTTTAATTATTTGGAGAAAAAAACAAACACAAAAAGATCAAAGGGCATTCAATTGAAGTCTAACTCTTAAATGTCAAATGGTTAAGGCAAAAAATAAATTTGTTGTTGAAAGCTAAAATAGCAATACAGGTTTAATGGTTTTAATGAATAATAAAATCAAAGCTAAAAATCTAAGGTGAATTTTGATTTTAAGGAAATTTGATCAATTTATGATTTACCCTTTGTTGATTTTTCTTTATATCAACATGTAACTAAAAATAAAATAGGAAAAGGGTATATTTGAAATGTTAAACTGATAGATGTAAATCCTATTTAATCATTCCTCAAGAAAAAAAATACATTGTACAGTAGGTGTCTTCATTCATTGAACAAGAATGACTCAGTTTTGAAAAAAACAAAGAAAATGATGAACCCAAGCCATTCTTTAAGCATGCGAAACAGTAATTAATTTCAAATCAACTCTCATTCATATATATCATGCAGTATCAACAGCATTTCTCTACATTCTGATTAGAACACTAACAGAAGCAATATCAACGTTTCCAAATTTACTGGAACAACATCCAAATTAGAGTAAAACAGAAATCACGTAAATAATATGTTGATAAAAAAAAAGTACAATATTAGAACAGCATGGTGTGTGTGTAATGATACAGTACCAAAACATTGTTATTTTAAAACTGACCTGCCGATTTTCAATTTAAGCTTGAGTCTTGTCTTTCCAGACCTATCTCAACTTACATAACAATAATAGTATAAAAAGATGATGGATGATCAGTTATTTCAACTTGAGTCTTGTTTTTCCAGACCTATTTTAACTTACATTCCCTACTAAACAGACAGTATTAAAAAATGAGGGATGATTCTAATTTCAGCTCGAGTCTTGTTTTTCCAGACAGTTATAAACAGACAATATAAAAGATGATGAATGATCATGAAACTAATTAGTAAATAGTAAATGATAGCAAAACAGCAATCATAACACCATTGTTAAGACTCTCATGCAAATCTTATCATAAATCAAGCTAAATACTAGTTTTGAAACCATCCAAATCAAACAAAGTTAAGTGAAGTAAAACTATAGATTTATCAATCATTCAAAACGAGTTCTCTAAATCTACCGCAAAAGTCTTACAGAAACAGTTTTACATTAATCCAATCAAACAAACTGAAACAAAAAAGAACTTAATTGTTATGAACCATCCAATCAAAGAATAGAATCTCTGACAACAGCCAATCCTAGCATGATGCACACTGGCCAATGGCAAATCTTGTTATATTTACATACCTCTTCTTCAAGTTGATCAGGATCTCCATATGCCGAGTCGTTAAACATTATACTGCCGGTCTGATAGGGGAAAATTAAATATGAAAAGGGGTTAAATATATATAAAAATAATAACCAAGGGAAACCATGAAAATTAAACCAATTAATCTTCTATTACTGAAAATTCGAATAATTTGTGAATTTTGAATCAATAGCAATTCTCATTAAGGCTATCGGAAATATAAAATGTGCAAAATCTGATAACAGTAATATACAAAGTCATCCAAAAATAAAAAAAAAAGTAATAAAAATGAACAGGTCAAGGAATGGGCTATGCTGTGGTGGATTTTCCGAAAGTTTCTCCATTACCAAAACAAAAGTTAAGCCATTGTCTAAAAACGGGGTTAGAAATAAAACTTTCTAAAGACCGATTTTAAAATGCAAGGGTCGGACAACCTTAGTCGACATTAAAAGCAAAATAGATGATCTTATTTTCCACATGGTGCATATACTATGTCAGTTACCACTGATCCAGTGTCTTTAGCTTACTGCATAAATCTGTAAGTTAGTGGTTATTTTCAAAAGGACTTCTATCGAAATTCTGTGGCCTTTGTTTCATAATACAACCTTATAGTCTTTGCCACATGGTGTATTTAAGTGATTTTTTTACACTGAGTTCTGTAGCTCATTTTTGAAAGAGCCAGAAACTACTGTTCCAAAGGTCATCAGGCTCATATAGGGTTCTAAAATAGTCACTTGGAAGATTTAAGGCAGTCTGGAGCGGTACATGTAGTTTTGGATAGTTTTTTGGCCAGTCCAAGAGCTAAAGGTTTAAAGATTTATAATGGATTATTGGTAACTAAGTGTAGTAAATGGACCGTGGAAACCGGAAGAGAAAAAAAAAACATCATACAAAGATCCTACACCATTAATTGGGATTAGATCCCTCTACTATACACTACTTTTTAATATATAAACATGCTGATAGAATAAAGTATGACACATGTCTACAGAGAGAAAGAAATAGGGTTTAACAGTCCCACTTGACACAAACTAAGTCATTTAGGGACTAACATATGGTTCAGTTTTATTTGAATAATTTGCTTGCACGTTTGGGTCTTTAGTCCAGTGGGAAGAAACCGGAGGACCCAGAAAAAACCCACAAGGTTGGATAGGCAACCTGATCCTACTCCTTGTCACATACAAGCTGAGAATTAATACGCCAACTGACTCAATTAAAGACTCACATTAGCCCCCCGCCCCCCATCTACCATGCATTAGATATGTCTACATTTTATAACTATTTATAAAATTATATTTTTAGTAAACAAACAATTATAACTATTATAAATGTGTATTAAAATCCTAAAAGAAAAACACCATCTCTTTTTTTTATCCACTATGCCCTTAAAATCTGTCATTATTTCAGAACCAAACAGCAAAATGTCAATAAAATCACAGCAAACAACTTTTGATCAAATTAAATGATAAAACATAACTACGACAGATGAAATAGACCAGTGATATTTGAAAGATCTAAGTAGAGTCACTGTAGTTCAAAGCAATATGTGGTTGAAAGATGTCATTAATACAATTCTACTTTAGAAGAACACACAAAAACTTCAAAAGGTGCAAATACTAAAACTATGATAGTGGATGGGATTCTTTTTCCAATTGATACAACCGAACACACATATAAAACTATGATGTGGTACATATAAATGAAATGAATGAGTTAGATGGAGTAAAAAATGTTACGACAGGACACACAACACACTAGAACAGGAATAAGACACAGCACACATAAAGAAGAAGACAAACTACAATTGTTATTGAATAATTCTATTGAGATGTTATAAATCCTGAAAATATGGTGACAATATCTTAGTAAGTTACAGAGATCTGATTGACCTAAGTCTTTTTCATACTTTCTTCCAAAAAGACATAATTTTTTATATATTTTTCTAAAGCTAGTTTTCTCTTATTTATTACATTTCGTAACTAACTAAAGAGGAGAGATAAGTAGATGAAAATGGTTTAACACAACACTCTACTGAACTGCACTGAAGAAAAAGCTAAAAGGGGCATTATGCAAGATTTAGATAAAGAGCTGGTCGTTCTCGCTAAAATATTTCAAAAATAGGTAATGCAAAATGAATATATTGAAAATTTCATTCAAATTACAATATTTTGAGCAAGTTGTAGTCTTGACAAGATGTGTGCATTGATCGTAACCACCGTACTGGTCATTTGAGTCTTTACATTGCTTCTCCATTTTTGAAATAAATCATTAAATGGCTGATCCATTCTAATCTTTTTAAAATCGGAGCCATCCGATGGCATCGAGGGTTGTTTATGATTAAGGCCCCAAAAAAGATCTGCAATAGGTAGATTTAGCTCTTTCATAATGCCTGTTTAATCTATGTAAAAGCTATTAATATTTAGGCTAATTAAATTATAGCTGTGGAAAACACTTTCATGGAATTGTTTGACATACATGTAGTATAAGGAATTAATATGAGTGAATCCAATGTATCTTAAAAGGCAAGAAAGCTGCAGTAGACAGAAACTAATGACTTGATTTCTGTAGAAATTATCAAATATCTACTTCAATACCACTGAAAGGTGTGTTTTAATTTCTAGATCCAAATGTATTTTCTACTTTAATTTTGATAGCATTACTGCGCACCCTCTCCAACATCTCCCAAAGGAGAAAGAATTAAAATTCTGAAAGTATTATATATACTTATATATTCCTCACACCTTCATTATTATCAACGATCAACATAAAGAAGCTTTTTGACATAATCTTCGTTAAACCAAGACACTTACAAAACTTTATGAAGCAAAGTGCATGCATATACCATGGTTAGTCACAAAGCCATGCAGTAGATTTTTCTAATGTAAGCTTGTTTACAAAGAATTCTAGTATTAGAGTTTTAGTATTATATTAGATGAAATAATGCACTCAATCCAATATTTTTCATGGTTTATAATGTAAAACTTTACATGTCAGCAATTTTAAAGGTCTTATATTGACAGGGTTCCCGCGGCTTCGTCAAACATTTTTTCAAGGATATTCAAGGATAAATATACGTCAAATTCAAGGATTTTCAAGGACATTTTTTAGCCTAAAGTTACAATTTTTCATCTTAAAAATAACCAAAACATTACCAACTATCGTTATAATCTCATATTTAAAAGGAATTGAAGACATTTGAAACAAAATTAAGGATCTCAACTGAAATTCAAGGATATTTTTCTATTTCCCAAAATTCAAGGATATTCAAGACCTTGAAAATGAAATTTTAAGTTTAAGGATATTCAAGGATTTTCAAGGACCGCGGGAACCCCTATTGATATAAATTTTGAATATTAAATAATATAACCCTTTAGAGGCATTTAATAATTGGATAAAGCAATAAACTATAACATATATTTATGGAAGAACAATTATGAATTAATTTGGCAACAATTTGAAGACTATTTTCAAATCAATCTGATTAAAATACAGATCTATATTTCGTTTCGTTTCGTTTTTTTATACTTTCGATGGCCTACACTACATGAAGATCTGACAAGTTATAGCGATAGGTCACGTCAGGGGTCAAAAGACCGACTAATGACCCTTTTGACGTCAGACATTTGATTAACCAATCAGCAGTTCCGTGAAAAACACGCCTAAAGCTCGCCGTAACAGACCGTTTCATTGGCTTATCCAGGACACCATTCAGAACACGAGTTAAATAACAACTCTTCCAGATCCAAGTGTAGTAAAGATAAGTAAAACGAAATTTTGAACTATAAAAACAAAACGAAATAGAATCTGTGTTTTAACCAGATTGATTTTCAATTATTTCCATGCTTCAAATGTTGAGAGAGAATACGCTTTGAAACGGCACCTTAATAAATTAATAATTGATCTTCCATAAATATGTGTTATAGGTTATTATTAATTAAAGAAAATATCTCAGCAATGCATTATTTCATAAACACAGACAAGCGAGTGTTTTCTAAGTTTTTTTTAACGATACACAAAATCTAGTGTGGTTAATCACAACATTTAAAAATAATAAACACAATGTAATCTAAATATAGATCTAACAAAAACAACATAACAGCATCCTTAATAACATATTCCTTCAAACCTCTTCCTGTTCATGTGGTAGGAATACCTGACGTTCTATATTGGCTGGTTGTCGTTTCTTTTTACGTTTTTTATCACGAACTATCTCTCCGTCTCCAAGAACCTCATCCTACAATATTAAAAAGAACAATTTTTTTCAGAATTATGATATGTCTTATTTTCTGGTCAAGGTTTGCAGTTTTAATTCCATGAAGCTATAGTTCCAGTTTAGGCAAGGAATAGCCTTTAACTTGCCATCAACCCAATATTCCAGTATTAGGTGACTATGATCACATGTGCAATGCCAGGTAGGTGAATTTTGCTCAGATAACAGAATTTCCACCTATTGTTCATCAAATTCCAACCTTTGAGGGTTCTTTTACATGGGTGGCCCTTGGTTTTCGTTCCATCCGAACCGCTAGGCACACTGACAAGTGGAAATCTTTGTTGAAGCATCCCAATGTTTTTCTTAACCCACACTGGGATTCGAACACAGGAAATTCTAGATCAAGACATTAGTACTCTGAAAGTTTGACTATCACGGCTCTAGTTCTCGTTTAGAATATTACGGGCTGATCTGGCTCACTTTATGGGTGGTTAAGCACAGATCAAACATCTACAACCAAAAATTTAAGAAGTAAACTAGAGTGAAATATCTAAATTCATTAGAATAAGGTCAATTGATAAAACCATTTCTAACATTCATAGTTATGGTCAAGAAATATGCTTCCATGGGGCACCATTTATTGTTTTTATTTATTGCTCAGATAAACACAATTAAAATAAGTTACCTTTTTATGACAATAATGTCGAGATTCAAAAGCAAGTGCCCAGTATAACATTAACAATATTCCAGGATTAACGTAATACTCCCACTTGACATCATCATGTAGATGTATTTTCCATGGTGTATTACAGTCAGTTTTAATAATACCAGTTAATCCAAGCAACCTGAAATATAGAACACAAAACTCTATCTATCCACTACACATCAACAAAACTCAACACCTTTTAATACATTTTTTTTGAGACATGAATTCCAAACTATAAACAAAGACACAAACTTTTATTAGGAATATTACCGTTAAGAATCTGAAGTCATTGAGGCAGGCTTTCATTTTCTATTGATGTATAGTTGAACCAACAATTCAAAGCAAAGTTATGTTTTTTTATTGTTAAAAAGGTTCAACTTATAGACAGTGTATTAGGTTGTGCTGACATTTTAATGATAACCTGTTTTGTATGGTATTTCCTATAGGACTGTAATAATAATCACAAAACAGTCTACTGATACTTAACTTCTCAATAATTCATGATAATGATCAATCTAAATATCACTCTTTAATAATCACCGAAAAAAAAGGAAATGGGGTATCTCCAGTGTGTATTAAACACATACATGTCAGTACGTATAACCACCAAATAATGACACGATCAAAGATCTACAGGACAATATTTTAGACCACCATAGACATGCCAGCCCTCTGTAATCATCAGAGAGAGTGAGAGATTTTATTTAAATTGTTTGTATTTGAAATATGCAGAATAGCTCAAAAAAGGATAATGTAAAATGAAAATATGGATATTTTCATTCAAATTACTTCATACTGAGCCAAGTTATCATTGTTTGTAGTTTTGACAAGATGTGTGCATTGTGGTAACCAGGGCACTGGTATATTCTAGGCTTAGCCGCACTTTCCCATTTTTATAATAAATTTTTAAATTGCAAACCGTTCTAATCTAGTTAAAATCTCGAGTATCCGATGCCATCGAGAGTTGATTATGGTCTGGATAAGTTAATTAATGTCTAATTAATAATTTAGATAGCATAATAGGCAGATTTAGCTCCTGCATAACATATGTTTAAACATACATTATACAAGAGCTAAATCTGCGTATTGCAGGTCTTTCTTTAAATCTGAAATGTTATCTGTATCTAATCTCCCAATGTATCTTCAGATATCACGGTTAGATAATTATCCCCAATTTACAGGATCATCACACAAACACCATGAAATTACGCGAAAAGATATTGATTGTTTTTAGACGATGGTCTGGTATGGGTGTGGGTCTCATTACCAACACCATCAAAGTTATGTAAGTTGCTTTGATGATCTCACTACATGTACATGCTTTTTTAGATCCTTTAATGATAAACCAGATTACACTCAATTGATTTCATCCTGCAGACTATTCATCTCTTTAGCTTAATGATCCTCTAAAGGTTATTATTAATGGCAACACAATCTATAGCAAAGAGGCGATCTCAAATAAGATTTGCAGACCCACACAAACAGATTTATTTTAGCTTTTAGTATTCTATCAAAAGTTTGTATTCTTAAAGGTGTGGTATCATTAATAACAATTGAAAAATTAAAGATTCATTATGGGAGATTAGATAGCCTCGGTCATAATTACTTAAAGATACATTCTGGGAGATTAGATAAAGAGCTGACAGTTCTCGCTATACTAGTTAAAAATAAAAACTAGATAATGTAAAGGTAATTTGTTGAAAATTTCAGTCCACTATGATCCACTATGAACCAAGATATCAGCTTTGTAAATTTCCGCCTAGCCTCGTTCATCATTACTAAAGCTAGTACGTTAAAAAGCATAGTCTCGATTATCCATTGTTTTGATTTAATTATCAATGAGCGTTTGCAGCATATATGATTCTAATCCAGTCGATATCGAAGGCTAGCCTTGACATCGAGAGTTGATTATGGTCTGGATAAGTTAATTAATGTCTAATTAATAATTTAGATAACATTTCAGGCCTAAAGAAAGACGTGCAATAGGCAGATTTAGCTCTTGCATAATGTATGTTTAAAGATGCATTATGTAAGAGATTAATCTGCCTATTGAAGGTTTTTGTTCTGGCTTCAAATGTTATTCAAATTATTAGTTATACATTTATTCATATTCCAAACCCATAATCTACTTCTAGACCATTGGATAGTTTTGATACTAATTGGATTAAACCATCCGCGTTGGTTAACAAAAAAAGTGGAAAATCCGAGTTGTTTAATGACAATCGTGACTACACTATTCTTTACAAAACTTCAAACATTCATGAAATTTTCAATATATTCATTTTTAATTATCAATATTATAGCAAGAACCAAGAACAACCAGCTCTTTATAAATCTTACATAATGCATCTTTAAAGGATGTAATGTGGCTCTAGTATGGTGATTCTCAACCAGTGTGCCACGACACACAGGTGTGCCGCAAGATCTTCCTAAGTGTGCCGTGAAATTTGGAACGGCACACTAAGAAAATGCGAAAAACCATGTGATCCTAATTGGACACTTACTGGTGTCTACTGGTAAGTTCATAGCTGTGTTCTGTTTTCTTTATTTAGTTTGAGTAATTCTGTGTCTGACTAGTCTGTGTCTAGGGTTGTATGCCGTCTGTGACTTGTCATGTTTTTATTTTTCAAAATTCAAATATTTTTCACATATATTTAGCCAGGTGTGACGCTATCTTTTCATGTGTTCCTAGATTGTTCAGTTGACAAAAAAATGTTGAGAACCACTTCTCTAGTATAAGGCTGATATTGGGCTACTAATGATTACACCTGCCTAATACATGTATACTGATTTCCTATATTTAATGGTTTACTTCAATTGGGTTTTGTTTTTTTTTACGAAATCATTTTTATCGAAAGAAAAAAAACAAGGCAACAATTAACATCTCACCTGGAAATAAAACTGGTGTGGGGAACTGCTTCCTGGAAAAACTGGAACTGGTAAAGATGCAGCGCCAATATATGAAGGCCGGAGAAAGTCAGTAGAAAAACTCGGAAAATTGCAAACTTTCGTCCCAATGTGTGATAGAAGGACCATAATGTAGCAAGAATTAGAAATGATGCAAAATAAACAGCACTAAGAGCAGATGGTAGAATGATACCACTTGCAGCTATCAAAAGATTTAAAATAAATTCTCCGACAAATTCTATAAGAGGTATTCCCCGTCTTCTTCTTGATTTGGTGGTGATTAGAGGTAAGCTTGTCAGTTGATTGGCTTCTCGTTTTAACAGAAAGAAACTGATTAAAAATACGACCAATGAAATGATGAGTACTAATCCATCAGTTGCTGCCAGTCGTACAACATTTACTACAGACACACCATCCAGTCTGAAAAATTTTAAAAACAAACATACTTATTAAAATAATTCATTTATTTGTATGTAAAAAAGTTCACTTTCAAAGATATAAAAATGAACATATATACATGTAATGTAATGAAAACAGTATTCATACAATCATTATTCTGTACACAAAACATAAGCATTAAACATGGCCCAATTAAGGTTGGATGGGGCACCTGGCTAAAAATGTCACTTGGCATCACCAGTAAAAAGGGAGCACATTCTGGTCATTGTATGTCACACTCACACAAATGCAATTTGTATATCAGTATGATATGGTAAATAGATTTATTTGGCATAAACATATATGAATGTACAACAATATAAATGGCATATTTATTTATGGTACAAAAAGTATTTTAGAACTAATTTGGGGGTCTCTTTTAATATTGGGTCCCCTGGCTGCTGCTCAGTCAATGAAAAGACAATGAAAACAGAAAGAAACTCTTTGTACTTTGATAATCTGATATTATGTAAAATAAATAACTTCTCTTAAAATTTTTTTGTTAAACCTGACAAAAATTTCACCCAATTTTGCAAGAATCCACTTACAGGAACTTGTATGAAATAACTTGAATTTATTAGATATTGGCAGAATTTGATAATAACATTTTTTTAAAATAAATATTTATCAAATATTTTATGAGAATCGTGAAAGAATGAAATTCTCAAATTTGTATGAGAATTAATCAGGGAATTTGATTTTGTAAATATCCTCAATCTCTAGGCTTGTACATAATGACAATGTACATTCGTACAAAATACACTTATAGACAAACTAAAAAAAAACAACAAAAAACAATAAAATAATTTCTTTACTGCAGTGTCAATATCATTTGCTATTTACAGAACTTATTAAGTGTTCCAGTAATGAAAGATGCTTGCGTGACACACATCATTAATAATTAAATAACCCATTTGAAAATTCTAACCTTTGAACTGCTAACTGTCTTGCTATTTGTTCATTTGTGGAACCTGAAAACCAAAAAAAAACACCAGTTTTAAAATCAAGTCCCAAATTTGCATATTCTTGATTTGTGTGTGGGTAAATACCATGAGAACACTACATATGTCATGTAATTATCATTCGATCTATTGTCAGAATTACAGTATACATGAACTAAATGTACAGCTTTCAAGAGATTAGTTTTGCAAAGCCAGTCTCTGTAAAATGCCTTTTAGGAAATTGGTTATATCTGGCTATTATTATTAAGTTATGCCGATACTTAAAGCTGCTCATCACCATTTGGGAGACTTTGAATCCCTGGCAAACTAGAATATTGTGAATGTTGAGTCTCTAAAAATAATGAAATCGGAGTTTAAGAGTTTATATTCCATTCACCATTTACAAAGATATGATAAACAGAAAATGTTGCGATATTCATCATATTTTTGCAGCCAATATAAACAACCCAACGCCACCTATAATTGTTGTTCTTAATCCGATTCGATCCTAGCTGGGAGATTATATACTACTGAGATTTTGGTTGTAATTTCTTAATTAAATCTTGAATAATCAGCAGTGTGGATTAAGTCGAAATTAGATACATGATTATCAGCAGCTTTAGTTTAAATAAAGGCAAAACTATCTATCCTAATAATTTCTGTTAATTATGGAGTATTAAATAGATCTGATTTTTAAATTCAGCTGCCTGGAGTAATCAGTGCATTACATGTAACACAAATAGTTATATTCTAATGATTTCCAGTTGCATAGTTAGGGGGGGATGGAATCGCCTAATTTTGACGTCAACGGAAGCCGTTGTAATTTAAATTTTTCAAGTCGAATTCAGTGACATAATATTTTAAGGATGTAAAACAGCTATATGTATGGAGTACGTACATGTTTTTCACATTCCTAATCATATTACAATGATTTTTAACTTTTCTCAAACAAACATATGTCTGAGATTATTTTAATAGTTACATGTCAACTTGTTGTGCAAACATTTACATCTATTGTAAAAGTTGTATAACTGTTAACCATTGCTTGTGTTGTGTCATCACACAGAACACATTTAAAGGTTCAGTTTACTGAGTGCAATGCTATTTAAGTGCACTATTCATGTACAAGGCCAGACACTATAACCATCAAGAAAATAGGATAATGGAACTCAGTTGTTTTTGAATTCAAACTATGCTTGCATAAAGTCGTATGGCAAACTGTCAAGGCCAGAAAAGAGAGGGAGAGTAATGGGGTTTAACATTCACTCGACACATACTAGGTCATTTCGGGACTAACATATTGTGTTCAATTTTATTTCAATAATTCGCTTGCATTGGTAGGAAATTGAAGGTTGTTAAGAAAACCCATGTGGTTGGATGTCAAGGCCACTATAGCATTATATAAATGGTGTAATCAACTTGTTTACCTGTTCAATACCTGTAATCACCTACATGTACCGGTAGCTTTTTTGGAGTATTTCAAAATCAATCAGCTTCTTTTTTTTTACTTGATTTCAGACATGATCACCTACTGAGTTTACTTTGGAGATTATCATTGAATCGATAAGATGCTCTTCCAACATCACAGGCACAGTTTTCATATAACAAACTTTTTAAATGTAAATCCACATATAATCTTACACAAAAAATACTTACAATTTGTAAACATGGAACCATAGGGTTCTGCTTCTGTTGCTATAGCAACTAGTGTAACATGGAATATTATCTGTGTTAGTGTTGCTAAGGAACTGACGGCAATCAACACTTTCAGGTAAATACCAGTAACACCTAGAAAAATAAAAGATACAACATACCTGTAGTTATAACATTCATCATATAAGATTATACAATTTCAAAGCTGAATCAATGGCTTTTTTGCAATTCCTTACCAGTCTACATGTACATGTATACTTACATTTAATACCTTGCAAGTCCCCCCCAAAAAACTTGCTTTATTAGAAATGACAATTTTTTTTTTCTAGGTTTCCAGCACCCCTTTCACATGTACAGATTGCTTGTGTGTGATGACAAAGTGATTATAGGTCACTACATGCAGCTGTTGTAATGAAGTTTACATAAAATTCTCTTATATTTTCAATAATTTAATAAACCATTCTCTTATATTTTCAGTAATATAATCCATAACTCCAATATTCTTACATATTAAAGTTAGAAATGAAATGCACCAACCGGGATGATGAAGATGAGAAATTTTATCAGGACATGGGCACTATGGATTACTCTTATTTTAATTACAAACTGATTGGCGATCTTTAATGTGCTGCCATTTATATACATGAGCCGTCAGTTTTTTGTACCATACCAACAACTAGACCCCTGAACAAAGTTTCAACAAGATATCTTGGAGAGTTTATAAGATACATGTACATGTATTTCCCAGAAACAAAACCAGGATAAAATAATGAATGGATTGTAACTGTAAGGACAGACTGATGGCAGTCCATTTCAATATATATCCCCCTCTTAGCTTTGTATGTTGCGGAATTAATATAATGAAAGGCTGATCGATTATTTTTTACTTATATAATAAATTCATGTACATGTATAGTAATCGGTTTCTAGTCTGACGTCAAATAGCCTGTCAATAAACATCAACACAAAGGGCAATATTGTTTGGCATAAAACGCCAGACAGCCAGGTACTAGACATTCTCTTGCCTAAAGAAAATTGTAATTGAAGCTGCTTTTGACCTTAAGTTCAGTAAACAATATAATACTGATACAACTTCTTAGGTATCTTATATCAGGCCAGTTTAATAGTGTGGGGGTGGGGTGGGGGGCATCAACCACTCCTTTCAATGAGAAGGAAAAAATGTAGGATTGTTGATTTGTTCTATCATGGAATTGCAAGTACATGTACATGTATTAAGGTTGGAACCATTTTTGTTCTGATAGACTGGCCCTTAATATTCTATGGAATGGTTACCAAGTAATAAAGTGTTCAAGTTTAGCCAGGTTTTTTCTATGCCACCCGATACATCACAAATTACACTCCATAGCTTCTAGTTGTACTAGAATACATTTATACATGTACAACAATTCCTTTGTCTAGTATTTCCCTTGATGCCATTTGCAGATCTGGAGAATAATAGTACACAGAGCAAGTATTGTTTCTTAGCAAAATATGAAACTTTATCATACACTAAAGTACAACAGGTGTTCTGTCCTGGGAATAAAATTGGTACTAAGACTGAAAAGAAACCAGCATCAAGCAACATAAAGAAAATTGACTTTATTCAGATAACATTTCATCAATAATGTACATGTACCCTTATGTGTGTTTATATCTATATCAAATTATATGGTTGATGATACTGACAAATGAAATCTTTTTCAAATGCCGCAGTGTAATTAACTGTACATGTACATGTAGTACCATAATTGTTGTCCATACATGTAAAACTATTTGAAATTGTACCTTCATATTTTTATTGAAATATAATTTGAACTTTGTGTGTGAACTGTGAACATAAGAATAGCAAGGTCATTTAGAAATAATAATTGAATATTCTATGGTTCATTTTGATCTGATGTATAATTTAATACACTTATAACAAGAACCACCTGAGCATATTAGCCTAAAGGTGCTTGTTACATTTACTCTCAGGTGTGTATAAGATTGTATGTAACATCTCAAGTAGATATATATTCAGGTACGCCTACTTCAAATTTTATATTGATATCACTTTTTAAGGTCTCTGAGCATCATATTGTGAAAGTTGAATCTAAAATGATTAGTATAAGTCCAAAATGTATTATCCATTTAGTATTTACAAAGGTATCATTTTTTAGTATCCTCTGCATATCATTTAAGCCACATGGTCAAACAAGCCAGTGTCCCATACAGTATAAGTACATGTGTACATGTATTATGCCTACAGTCTAGATACTTTCATATTCATAATCATTATTATCAAATTTCAATCAGAGTATATTGTATATTCAAATATCCCTGTGGGTTATTATGACCTGGAGATGTGCAATATGATATTATAAAATACATGTAATGATGGTGTAGTTTTTCACAGCCTGGATCAGTTATAAATTAATCATACAATTTTATTATGTCTAGTTATGTACATGTAGATTAATCATATTATTGAATCATAACCTTGTAACAGAAGACTGGTTTTAATCATATTTCATCAATAGAGAGAGTTATTCATATACTGTGCCTGTACTATTCTTGAAGTACATGTATGTACAACAAAAAGTTTTAATTACATTGGAAGTGGCATATCAGCTCTTCTAGAAAGATTATGGTAACCATACATTGCATGCCAATTCTGGTATGCAGCAGTAATGGCAAGACGGATGATAAAGGAGTGGGTTGGGGGGGGGGGAGCTGCCCTCAAAGTGAAAGTACATGTGGATCAAAGCAAAATTCGGGACAGACTGCAGCGTACCAAAATTATACAGATCAACATGATTGTACAATATACCTAGATGTACACGTATATATAATGTACGTGTACCAGCACTTTAATGAAATGAAATGGGTCCTACTGTTCCCAACCGGGCTAATAAGACAAACACTTAAATACATGAATATAATGTTAAAGCCCCACAACAATCTACAGTAAAATCCCTAATTCAAGTCTATAATCAATTGACTCAGATAGAAAGTAATTTTTCAAAACTGATTTTCCCCATCTGTTTTTTTTTATTTTTAACTAATGTTTGTAAATCTACCAATCTAGGGTAAATATTTTGACATGATTAGTGATAAAACATGAGAATATTTTTGATGTATAAGGTATTCAAATCTATAAAGTGTTTATAAAGGATGAAGAATGTTAGTAAGTTGACAGCATGTGGTTGACAGTTTTAACTGTACTATGAATAAACAGTTAAACTAGTGGGTGGCTACACCAGTACAAATATGTAGATAAAAACTGGTGGGTGGGCTTATAAACCGAATTCTTCAGAAAGGTCAGTATTTCATTTCACAAGAAAAAATAAAAAGGGATAAATATTCATCCCATCTTTCAAATTTTGCTACATTTAGTATACTACTACATGTATATATACATGTATTAATCCTGAATATCTAGTCTTTTATTTGGTTATTCAGAAAGGTCAGTATTTCATTTGACAAGAAAAAAAAAAATTATATAGTCATCCCATCTTTCAAATTTTCTAAATTACTACATTTAGTATACTGAAAATCTAGTCTTTTATTTGGTTATTTATTTCGTAATGAAGATCAAAGATATGGAGACAATATCTTTGTACATGTACATGTATCACTCACTGTTTTAATGCTAACTTTATCAAATTTTAAGCGTGATAAGCTCATCAGAAATTTTAAGTGGCCTGCGGAAAACACTGACAGTGTTATATATGTGTGTGACCAATAACCATGTACATTGTACATGTAGTTAAAGATCGTAATTTCCGTGCTATAGGAACCCCTTGCAATTAACAATATTGTGAAAATTGAATCTCTAATAAGAATATCAGCCTAAAAACTTTCGATTCCATTGAACAGTATTAACAAAGATATGAAAACTGCATCGATCTACAACAATGTACATGTATGCTGCTCCCTATGTAACAAAACAAACCCATCTAATGGTCCTGTTTTCAATCTGATTGAATCCATGTTGGGAGATACATGTATCTAGATGGTACAAGTACATGTATTTTCATTTTGTTTTCTTAATTAAACATTAAATAATCAATCTGAGTACATATTATCATATATTAAGCCTTGAGAAATTTGATATTTTCCGAAAAATGTAAATCACACATCGTTACTTTAAAATCATTATATTAAAATTCTTCACATTTAAGTCTATTATTGAACATATACTTGAAAATATTGATCACAAGGAAATAAAGTAAAATATATTATGATTTTATAATGGAGTTGTTTTTAATGACAGCAGACATAGTGAATATAGATTTTAGTATACCTGGATACGCCTATACATTTCAGGTAGAAAATACATTTATAGATTAATAATCGTTTAGACAGCAATAAAATATTTTATAACGCTCCCATGATAAGACGATCAATAATTTTATCTATGTACAATGTATGTTGTAAGAATTTAAATGCGTACATACACTGTATCGGTTGTCATATTGTGTTAAATGTATTTGTAGTGTACATGAAAATTGTAGTTTATCAAAGAGACTACATGTAAATGTCATTTTCAATTTTTCTGACAATATCTGAATTTTCACAATTTGATTTAAACACAGATCCTATTTCGTTTCATTTTTTATAGTTCAAAATTTCATTTTACTTGTCTTTACTACACTAGAATCTGGAAGAGTTGTTATATTACCGATGTTTCCGTTAAAGTGAGGGATTAGTCAATGTAAGGGTCTGTTATGGCGAGTTCTTGGCATGCCATGCACGGAACTGTGGGTAAACCACTAGGAACGTCAACACTGATTGATTAATCAATGTCTGATGTCACAGGGTCAAAAGCCGCTCGTACAACCCCTGACGCGACCTTCCAGTACAACCAGTCGGATTTTCATGTATTGTAGGCCATCGAAAGTATATAAAAACGAAACGAAATAAAGTTCTGTATCTTAATCAGATTGGAATTTTCATGGCGAGAGAGAGAGAGAAATGGGGTTTAACGTCCACTTGACACAAACTAGGTCATTTCGGGACTAACATATGGTTTAATTTTATTTCAATAATTCGCTTGCGCGTAGGGGTCTTTAGCAGTGGGAGGAAACCGGAGGACCCGGAGAAAACCCACAAGGTTGGACAGGCGACCCTACTCCTTGTCACGTAATTTTCAT